TATATATATATATATATATATATATATATATATATATATATATATATATCCTAGTTACAGATACAGTCTTGATTATAATTGATTAAATTTTAAATTATAATTTTAGTATCGCCACTTTCAAATTAATTGATATAATCGTTAGGTCGTCAATAAATGTTTACTATATACTACATGTATATAGATCCCGAATTAGAATAGGCCAGTCTTTCCTTTCCGTTGTAAGAGGTGACTAAGGGCGCCTATAATAAAGGAATAGGCAGCAGCGGCCCTCTTAAAACATAATCAAAAGCTAAACCGCGGTTGCCAACCCGCCTGCCAAGCATGGCAACTACTGGCAAAAGTTTTAAAACACTTATGGGGGAGGCTATATTTAGCAGTGGGCAGTTAACAGCTGATACAACATACAACAACTATCGATTAATTGATAATAGTTTATTAGACAACACTACTGTGTTATTTTGTTGTGCGTAAGTAACTATAGTCAACAAGTAGTACGTAGCGCGGTCAAAATTGTGACGTCATGTAAGACAAGTGGCGAATACTTAACATGCCCTACCCGTAAAATCATTGAAATAGAAATGTATTGACCCGGAACTAAACTGCTGACACGTTGTCTTGATATATGCCTGCCTTCTTGGAAATTATGTCAGTAATTTATGGTATTATTACTTGGATTTTTTTAAGGTTTGTTTATAAGATATATAGTAATAGATATAAAAGTAAGGTACCTAAAAAAAGAATCACTATGGAATAGTATTTTATGTGTTGATTTGCGTAATTGAAACCCCACGTTTTTTAGTTAGACTAATAACGAAGTTTTCTAAATTGGTTCTTGTCTAGGCAATCAAAGTTGCATCTCCTTATATTATGAAATATATTTTACCTCGTACGAACACACTGACTGCAAACAGAACAAAATTAATATTGGTTATTACATTTACTAATTTTATGTCAACACGAATTAAACATATCAATTAACGAAGAGATGTTTCACAAACACATAATAATGAAAATATTTGAATTATAAATAAGGAGTCTAGTTGCAAGTAAAATAGATTTTGCTCCGTAGAAAAAAATATATGTAAAACAAAATAAAAAAAATATTTCCCTATTTTCTTTGTTAGTCAAAAAACAAAAAGGTATTAAAAATAATAGACAGTGACACAAAATGTCACCACATCACACAAGTTGTTTCCGCCGATAGATCGGACATTTTTTAACGAAGTTTTTTTTTGCGGCTAATATAACTTTGTCCGTGCCATCGTTAAGTCATGTTCATCAAGATGTCACAGTGTTGACTGATGGAGTTGTTAGTTCATTCTTTTTGTATTTATAGGTACAAATATTTACTTAAACTTTTTTCTACACGTATCTATTTTTATGGATGACAATGCACACCGTTTAACAATGAAATGTTTCACAGGCACATTGGAAACATTTATATTTAGAATGCGGAATTGGGTGTCTACTAAGAGATTTTGCTTCGCAACAAGTAATTTTGCTACGCAATATAAAATCATAACTTTGATTATTATAAATTCAATTATTTATTTATTGTAAAGTTTATATAAGAATAACACAGAAGTGATTAAACCATCTAATAATAAACCTTGTCAAATGTAAAAGATACGACATATAGTCTCAAAGAATACAAAAGAATGACAGGTGAAGTTAAAATCTGGTTAGTTAGGTCATCGTGATACTTTTGTTGGGAACTAGCTGTATCTCGCTGCTTTGCCCATATCAATCAGTACATAAAGTATCCCATGAACTAAGTTAGAATATAACATACTCATTTCATTTTTATTGAAATCCGTTCAATAGTTTTTGCGTGAAAGAGTAACATACAGCTATCCAGTCTTCCATCGTTACAAACTTTCGCATTTATTATATTAATGGGATTAACCACGAGGATTTTCAAGGAGGACCGCATGCTGGCCGATTTAATAGGGTATAATGTTAGCAATGGGGATATTAGTTCCCGTTACTATCAAATTTACGAGTACTACATTTATGTTATAGGTAGGTACCTCACATGCGTTGCGGTTACTCAGGACTAAGATCTAATATATATAAGATATACCTTTATACCTCTTTACGTTGTGATTTCACTGTCATATCCTACTTTTCCAACCAAAACACACTCATGCATTTGCTTAATACCGCTGTCATAAAATGATGAATTTAAAAAACCTTTAATACGAAAGTGACCTACATACCATGGACCAAATTACATGTGCATACTCAGTAAGTGATATACAAAAGATAAGTTTTACTATTGGCATACTTCGTGTTCCATACGAGATGACAAAAGTTACAATTTCAAATGACATCGCCATTCTTTGAGAATAATTGCGGTCTTGGAACCTACATACGTAATACGGCCACTTCCGTGGTAACAATATAGCCGTGCTTAGCCAGTCGTTAGCCTTACGATATAAATAAGAGCAATTACACATATCTAACTGGTATGGAAGTATGGCAAAATAAGTGATGGAAAGTACTTCCTGTATCTAATTGTTCATCTATTTATCTTCATGCCTGGTACTTTGCGCGGTTGGCAAAGTAACTGAGTATCGAACGAACTTTCCTGCTTTATCCACTTTTATACATTTGGCTTATGCAAACATGTCTGTTTTAGAGATTTTTAAATCTTGTGTCTGATAGCACATCACATCTATGTGATGTGTTATCCACTTATATGATAGATCTGACCACTATTTGATCAATATAGGCTAGTCAGAAGTCTGCGTATCCTACTTGTGTTGTACATTAGGTTAAAATCTCATAGCTGACTTCTGCAGGTATAAAGTTTTTTTTAATGAAACTTAATTTAAATGGGAGATGAACGAAAATACAATAAAATGTAGCCGAGTTGCCTGCTCTCAATTAGCTACAATCTAGGGTTGTAGGATGAGATTTACTTATCATCTGGCCTATTTATCCTTAAGTAAGTCGTGCCTATCGCGGTTTTAATTAATAAACACAAACAAGTAGCTGGGTCATGTATCCTTCTATGGTATTAAAGGACTTAAGATTCTTCATTTCGTACCTTTTAGGAAGTCCAGTTTTTCGTGTGTGTTCTAAGGAATGTAGTTATCAAATGGGCCTGTTTATTTATGTGGCAATAGCGTTTAATTTAAAATGTATGGTTGCGATAAAAATGCAGTTCTAAAGTTTGATGTGAATGCTGTCAAGGATATTTATCAAAGTTGTAGCGGTATCAAGGGATTGCATTTGACAGTAAAATTTCGAGAACTTATAAAGCTTTTCAATCTATTCTCATGCATAATATATTTTTTTTAATATTCAATAATCACATCAGTTTTTCATGTGGTAAAGGAAAATATAAAAAAATAGTTTTTTTATATGAATAAATATGAAGCGGTCATGCGTATTAAATAATATTTCGGAGGAGACCTGGCTCCTTAAATTCGTGCATTATGTATCCTAAGATATGTCTTTGCTCGTAGGTAATAGCTCTGCTTCTGATCCCAGGGTGAGCACTAGACAATTCTGGTGAGCACGGCCTACTCGACCCTTTAAATAGGTATATTTAAAGGGTGGAGTAGGCGATAAGTATATGGGTAACGGTACTATTGCCTTCGCTATAATTAATGCTGGCGATGTATATGTTGCAGTCAAAACTCTTAACCAGTCAAAAGTACTATTGACTAGCAAAATCAGTCAAAAGTACTTTTGACCGTATGCTTTAGTCAATAATACTTTTAACTAAAATAACAGTTAAAAGTACCTAACCTAACCTAACCGCAAATTTGCGGGGGAAAAGGATTGTTAGCAATGGAGTTTGACAGCCCCATTGCTAGCAATATACCTTATTAGGTCGACCTCCACGTGGTTCCCCCTGGAAACCATCGAGAACAATTCTTGTTGAATTCGTCACGATGAGCTAACTGACCTGCTTCATCCTCACCTATCATCCTTCACTGGTGCTCCGCCGGTGTATACCGATAGCGCGGTGTGGTTACCATTTTATTATCATCCATTAAAAAAACCGCAAATTTGCAATCTAACAAACAAAAAAGTACTAATAACCATTAATTGTCAGTCAAAATCACTTCTAACCAACCTGTTCAGTAAAAAGTACTTTTGACTGACTTTGCTAGTCAATAGTACTTTTGACTGGTTAAGAGTTTTGACTGCAACATATATATTGATACTCCGTTAGCATATAGTAGGTGGGACGATAAGTGAGTATCAAGTCAGGCCAGTTGCCTATAGGACAATCAAGGCACTACTTCAATTGAATATCTAGAATTCTTCGTTATGAAATAAATATTGCAATGATAAAATTAACTCTGTCGACAGGTTTGATGAACTGGTGTGAATAAAATGTAGTAGAGAGATAACCTGCAATATGTATAGTATTTTCGTAAGGGTGAAGTCGTTTGTGTAATTAAGCACTAATAAATAGATCATATAAGAATATTATCAATTAACGATATTTAATTATGAAAGTATGTAATAAAATATCATCATAAGGTTATATTACTTAATTAGCTTTTTGCTTGCTACTTCATACGTGTGGTTTCAGTAATAGTAATGATGTAGATCACTTCTTTACTGCTTATCAAGATAAAACAAAAACCAGAGTTTAAGTAAAATCTTCAGAAATAACATTAAATTGCTCTCAGCAATAAGACCGCCTTACTGTACTTATACAATTGTATCGTTATGTTTGTAAATTGTCTTGTTTATTTCCTATATTGTATAATGCAAATAAAGTATACTCATTCATCCATTCATTCATTCATTAAAAATTGCATCCAATTTAATGCAGTAGTTTTTACGTCATTCCGGAAGAAACATACAAACAAACAATTTTGGCCTCTATTGGTTTTAATAAGTATTATTATTTTTTCTTAAATATCTTCCATGTACTAATATTGTCTATTTATAATTTTATCATATAAGTGAGAAGTACTCGTAAGATGTCATGACTCCTGATCCCTTTATTTAAATCTTCATTCCTTTTGCAGGAGGAGTTGGACTTGACAGCAGTAAATAAAGCAGCCATGATGGATTTACCGGCCGCGAAAAAATGGCAGATATACTGCAGTCGGCGACCACCACCAGGCCAGGCCCCTCCACTGGCCACCGCCCCTCAAGTGGAGGAATACATCAAGGCGCTGAATGAAATCGCTGATGTGAGTAGAACGTTAAAAAGAGTTTTGCAGAAGTATGAATTATTGTGTATTTAAATTTTATTGGAAACCAGATGACGCTATAATGCTGTTTCGCCCCCAACCACTACCCATTGGGAAATATTTTCCTGTTGAGAAATAATACCCTATCTCTCAAGTAAAAAAAAAAAAAAAATTACACATTTACAAAATTTTATTAAAATAGGTTAAGTTGTTTTGGAGATAGTGAATTAATATCGTGACAGAGGTGAAACCGATTTAATCAGTGAAATCTTCTAATTTGAAAAGATTTGGGCCAAGAACGAGATAAAAATATATTCTCTTATACTAAAATGATAGTTGGATACATTGTAAGTATGGAAGGATTTTTCTCTTTTGTGGCCCTATTTTCTTTGAGGGAAATACTGAGTTTCACGAGCACCCTAAAAATCAACTAATTACTTTGATTTTACCTATATATGGGTGAGTTGACTCAGAGCTGTATTTTTTTAAAAAGACAAATTTAGCAGTTCAACGTTCGATTGAAATGACGATAATGAATGTAACTTATTTATTTGTAATCAAAGTACGTGAATACTTGCTTAAGTAACATATCTAGATAACGTCAAAATTTTTTATATTTTATAAAATATTTGTAACTTTTCGTAACTTTAGCCGTAGTTACAAATAGTTATAAATTTTAATATTCATAGTACGTAATAGTAAATTATTTTTATTCAAATTTTGTTATGAAAGAGAACGCAGCAAGATACTTGTAGGGAATTATCATCATTAGGTAATAAAGTTCGTTAGCATTCGATTTTCTCTGTCTACCCTACGAAGACGACTCCGATCATGTCGCATGTTGCTTATCGTATCTCTGTGAAATTGTAGTGTAATCATTTGGTCAGTAGTTAATAATAGTGTTGTGTGATGATAACTACAGTCAAGCGTATAAGTAAAATGCTGCTGATATACTATGAGTATGTAACCTTCACGCAAGCGTGACGTGACGCGCCAATTGCATAATGGAAATGGGCCCAATATACAATTAAAAAAGTAATTAATTTTTATAGCACCACACTATATATTTACTTAAGTTATAAATAACTTACTTTACGCCATCTATTAATATAAATAGTTTCTTATATAAAAATAACAGTAAATCTATACAGTTAGCATCAAAAAGCGATAAATGCGTAAACAATTTTTAAAACTCTAAATAAAGTTATGCATTACTATTTTAATATATTAGCACCAGAATTGGATGAATATCGTACAAATATAAGATTGGATTTAATAAATATATAATACTATAATAATAATAAATATAATACAGCGGAAGGGTTTATTTGTTTGTTTGAATACACTAATCTCTGGATCAGATTTGAAAAATGGTTTTTGAAATTGACAACTCGTTCTTTATGGTAGGTTATAGGCTATCTAACATTACGGAACAATCATGGATGAAGCAGTTAGTTAATTAAATAATAGCAATGACATTATGTATGCTATGGAACATAAGAGTACATTAACTTTTAATGCTGACTGTATAAGTAAATTATAGTGTTTGTAATACAACAAGGCGTTAATAAAAGGCAAAGGTTTCTTACCATAATTATGATTCTTATTTTATAAAGTATGTTTTATGCTTTCTCTTGTATTTCAATATATTCATCATCATTCCAGCCGTTAATTGTCCATTGCTGAACATAAGCCTTCTCCATAAGGAGAGTTTTGCCACTAGTTGCCACGCTAGTCAGACTTTGAGAGGTTAAAAAAAAAGAAGGTAAAAGGGACGCTGCTGCCCATTTATCTACTATTAAGTTCCCTTAGTCGCCTTTTACGACACTCACAGGAAAAGAGGGGGTGGCTTTTTCTATGCCCGGACTACACGACTAATGAACATATTAATTAATACAATTTTTTTTAAATTCCAGGCCTTTGCTTCAACGGACGGTATACCACCAGCGGAAGCCTGCGCCCTAGTGGATGGTTTAAAAACTGCACTCCGAACTCGAGCTCATAGCTTCGTACTCCGTTTCGTTAAACAAGGAGGCCTGGGGGCACTTCTAGATGTTTTACAACGAGCTTCAAGGGACGATGCACTCACCAGACATAATCTCATCGCTGCGATAAAGGCTTTGATGAATAACTCTGTAAGTTATTAATAATATAAAAAAAATCTTAAAAGAAATGAAAAAGATGGAGGGAATAGCTAGATGTAGATATAGTTTTGTTTTCATTATGGGGAGCCTAACATTCGGCATCCCTAAATTTCGTCGAAGGTTACACAAATTTAGGGTTATCTGTCGATCTGTAAAATTATTAAACCAGGTTAATCACATGATATTTTAGTTTAAACCCAGGTTTATTTTTCATTTGCAACTAATTTCAATTCAGATAATTGGAAAACCTAACAGAATTTTATATAGTAAATGGTGATTTCTACATTTATCTCTTTTAGAAAATTTTTCTTTTTAGAAATCTATCGGAAATTAAAATTGGCCTACAATTTCTAGCTTAAAATTAGTATACGATTTTTGGCGTTAGAATCGAACTGAAGTTTTATATGTACATATGTAGTTATAATAAATCATTAGACCACGATGCTTTTTATTAGCAATACAGAAGCAATTGTGATCATTGGAGCAAAAAATGTTGGCTAATGTCCGCATTCGGTAATTAGGTATGCATTTGATCAAATACCGACACATGATATATCGCTTCATTGGTTTTTCTTTGAATAAACTATGAGTAATGTCTTGGGTTCGATTCTCAGACTGCATATAACAACAATTTGTTGATTATTTTTGAATATGCCTGTTATATATAATCATCTAGTGTCATTAGACATGCAAAATAATTTTTATCTTTGTTTCTAATGCATACAAAGACAGGCGTGACAATCTTTTATTAAAAAAGTACTCTTGAGTGTCAACCCTGATTGAGTTAGTCAAAGGTATCTGTCTATTAGTACATTTTGCCGACCATATTAGAATACAATGATATACAATGCAAAAGTGGACGGAGGTAGGTACAAGAGTAGACCTAAAGTACCTAAATTCTTATGATTAAATAGACTGTTTTCTGTCTGAGGGAGGAGTCAAGTCTCCAGGAAAATTTTATGTTGTGACAAAAGATGTAGACATGTAATGATAGAGATTTTTGGCATTCGGTTTCCTCTGTCTACCACGCAAAGGACTTAGCATGAAGAAATATAGATAGATGACAGGGGACTAGTCTACCGTCGTCAACTGAATTAATTTAGTTTATTAAATAATATAATATATAACATTTTTTGCAGACTGGCCGTGCTCATGTTCTAGCACATCCCACCAGTATAGATCTGATTGCACAGTCGTTAGATACAGAGAATGTTAAGACAAAAGTAGCAGCGTTGGAAATACTCGGTGCTGTTTGTTTGGTGCCAGGAGGACACAAAAAGGTAAACACTTTTTATACATTTAGAAAGAAAAACAAGCTAACGGTCCGCCTGATGGAAAGTGGTAACGTTGCCTTTAGATATTAACTGCAATGTAGATATGACAAAATATGAGTATAATGTGATGTTCATGGAACATGCATTGCTATAAGATCTTTCTTTATGGATGAAGATAGGATGGTGCATCCGTCTATGTTAATGATACACAATAGCGGAGCACCAACAATAAATGAAATGATGGAGATGTTGTTAGGTCAGATGGGCCATCTTAGCGAAGATGCCAGAAATCAACCGCGATGGTTTCTAAGGGAGCTGCATAGATGTCTTTTTTTATGGATGATAATGAAATGGCAGCTCCGCCTGCACTAATGGTATACACTGGCGGGGCACTAATGAGGGATGATAGGTGAGGATAAAAAGGTAGATCAGTTAGCCCACTGTGATGAAGGCACCTGGAATTCAGTACAACAGTTTCCAGGGGGACCACGTGGAGGTCGATCTCATAGAGTGTATTGCTAGCAATGGGACTGGTAGTTCGCATTACTAACAATCCCTTCCTCCCACGGCATACATGTCATCCTTATATTTGTTAGTAATGTGGACTGGCATTCCCATTACTAACAATATATTCCCCTCCTGAGGACTTAGACGTTTGACTATGTATCCTGTAATTATATTTTATCGTTTTCAGGTACTAGAGGCCATAGTTCACTATCAAAAGTATGCTGGCGAACGCGCCCGTTTCCAAGGGATCGTGAACGAACTCGATCGGAGTACGGGAGCGTACCGTGACGACCTCGGCGTGAAGACTGCCATCATGTCGTTCATTAATGCCGTCTTAAATTATGGACCTGGAGAGGATAGTTTGGAGTTCAGACTGCATCTCAGATATGAACTGCTCATGTTGGGGATAATGCCAGGTATGATTTAAAAAAAATACTCCGATGTAGACATGAATATAAGAATTTTATTAGAAATAAAATAAATTAATATGTTCACGACTGTAATATCTAAAGGTTTAGTCAGAGGCATTTGTCGACTATTTACTATTCCGAAGAACGTAATACTAGACATTTTTTGTTGATTACATTCTAATTTAACATGGGTGAACCTAATGCTGTCATTCGGATTCCATCGTTAATGATGTTTTCTATCTCCAGAGATGGGAAAATATTCGGAACTTTGATACACAACAGTTGATATCGGCTAGACTCGAACTTACGACCTATGAAATTGTAAAAATGTCTAAATATTAGGGGTAGTGTTTTTATGGAAAAAGACGAAAGCAATGCAATATCTAAAATATGTTTAATAAACGTTTAAGGTATTTATGCATACCGGAGGGTTAATAATTATATTAAAATTACTCAAACATTATGTTTTCCTTTCACAGTAATCGAAAAAATGAGAAAGTACGAAAACGAGACATTGGACCGTCACATCGAGTTCTTCGAGATGGTTCGCAACGAAGACGAGAAAGAGCTCGCCAGGCGATTCGACAAGGAGCACGTGGACACCAAGAGTGCCGCGGCCATGTTCGAGCTGCTGAGGAGGAAGCTCAGCCACACCGCCGCTTACCCGCATATGCTGTCCTTACTGAAACACCTGCTTCTGTTGCCGTGTAAGTTATGAACAATGGAACCGAATCTGAACATATCATTCCCACGACGTATTTAAAGGTTCAAATTATTTATGCGAATCGCATAATAATTTGAATCCACTACTTTTGCTACAGCCTGATTTAGAAGATCTTTTTTAATTGTATAATGATGGTATTTGCCTCTAGATCCTTTGTCATTCCAGGTTTCGTTATCAATTAATACTGCTGTCCCATTATTGGACATGATTTTCTTCTCATAATCCTACTATTACCATGCTCGCCAGCATGATAAAGAATTTAATATATTAAGTCCGATATTCTCTTTGTGTTCTAGTGGAGTACAGTCCACACTCGCAGCACTGGTTGCTGGTGGATCGCGTAGTGCAGCAAGTGGTACTGCAGCAGCCTAGTGCCGGTAGTCGTGCCAACAGCGAGCAGGGCAGTTTACCTGATGTTAACACCGACCCCACCAAGGTAACTATCACCACCATAACCTCTAATTACCTGATTACCATAGATTGATCTGAGGATTTGTTTTAAGCTAAATAAAAGCATGTTAAGTCATTTGATATACTAAAAAAACACCACAAAATTTTCAGATTTACGATCCCGACGTGGCGCCCCTTGAAATTAACGTGGGAGAAATTGTACACCTTTTAGCCAAAGAAGAAGAACTCGTTGCTGCCAGAACGAAAGCAGAGAATCTAGAACGAGAGAATGTTGATTTGGCTACGGAGCTTGCTAAAAAGGTATTTCTTTTTCTAAATATTATTAAATATGGTGAAGGAATTTATAATTAATATAAAGACAATATGCAAGCAAGTCGTTAAAACGGAAAGACCTTTACATTTTATTAACAATATCTAATTATAGAGTGATCAAATAATATCTAATTCCTTAATACTCATACGTAATTTTATTTTGGTAAAATTCTTTTTTATGACAAGATAGGCTTTAAAAACATAATGGGGTTTATTGATCATACATTGCTTCGTATTACATAAAATAACCATATTCTAACATATATAATTAAAATCAAATTGATTGTATCTTAAGTAGATACAATCAAATGTTTTATAATAAAGAATATTATATTATATATAGCATTTTATAATTTTGTATTAAAATAAATATTGATTAATTTATTGTCAATATATTAAAATAACATTACGATATCATTTGAAATAGCAGCACATTTAATATAAATCCCACACTTTTTTTTTATTTATAACGCGCCTAAGCCCCATAATAACATTTTAATAGCTGACTAAAATAGGCTGCTTCGACACGCATGGTAGCCGTTACTATCAAACGATCACCGTGCACGGAGGAGTCTTTCATAAATTAATTGGCCACGATGGTGGGGGAGGCATTAATAGTGACCGAGAGCGCATGGTAACCCCGCTAACGCACTAACAGGAGAAGCAAGTGGACCAGCAGGCGCAGGAGCGCGAGGAGCTGGAGGAGGTGGTGGCGCGGCTCAAGGAGCGGCTCGAGCGCGAGACCGCCGCGCACATGGAGAGCGCCGAGCGCGCCCGCGCCGCCGCCGCGCGCGCGCTGCACCTCGACCACCAGGTACCGCAACAGCACGCGGCTGCACGCGGCTGCACGTACACCACGCGCAGTACGACACGTGCAGGGAGAGGGCTCTGCCAGAGAAGTGCCCACGACCAGGGGGACGGGACGGAGGATTGCTCCTACGAAAAAGGCGGGAATGATTTAGGAGGAGCTGTAGCTTTGAAAATACACTTTGGATTTATGTATGATTATGGATGTACTACAGCTGGGCATTGGTTCTGAGTAACATTGGTTATGACGAATGAAGGAATGTCGTAAATAATTTATAGCAGATATTTAAAAATTAAATTATACGTTTTCTTCTTTTATGGGTAATGTTAATTAAAATTGTCTCTTATAATTTCAGTTAAATCAGGAAAGATCAGAAAGAGTGAGATTCGAGAAACTAGTCAGCGAAGGAAGTATACCTGATGACGCTAAGGTAATTTATTATTTAGATTGTTATTAATGCATTTTCAGTTAATAAGTTAAATATTCGTAAAATTAAATACATTGAACTATCTTTACCTTATATTATAGATTTATTAGTGTACCATTTGGTACCATCCAACCACATTTAGCTTTTTATGTTACAACAAGAACATCGTGATTAATCTGAAAATCAGTTTATATAATCATGTATCTGCCTATATAAATATTAAGAAAAGCAATTATATTTAGCTATATAATAAACAACCTATCACCTTTTAGGTGAGCAATTTGAAGACCGCTGTGATTGAAAGCTGCACGGCACCTCCCCCTCCACCCCCTCCTGCACCGCTTCCACCACCAGCCCCTCTACCACCTCTTTCAGGCCTAGCCCCTGCCCCACCCCCTCCAGCCCCACTCGCCCCTCTAGCACCTGCACCTCCTAAACCTAAAAAGAACGTACCCACCCCCGGAAATCCATTGAAAAGCTTCAATTGGAGCAAGCTACCAGACACGAAACTCCACGGCACCATCTGGCAAGAGCTCGATGACACCAAGTTGTACAATGCCATAGATTTGCACACGATCGATAAGATGTTCTGCGCGTACCAGAAGAACGGTGTACAGGTTAGTGGAGAGAATTGTTCTGAATGTAAGATCCTTTAAGAATTTATGATTGGTAAGATGGGCCGTATGCTTGATTACAATTTTACGTCGTACCTGTCGGTTTTTGCATTACCTACCCGTAGAGTTATTATTGATTAAATTCCCAATAAAGAATTAGTTTAATTTTTCCTTTTTCCTTTATTTTACTTGCATTTTCGACCATCAGAGATTTTGAAACAGGTGGATATTGAGTTATGTATAAAAATATATTTAATTATTTTCAGAATGAAGGGTCCGTTGAAGACTTACGCCAGTTGGGATCAAAGCCTCGAACAAAAATCTTATCTGTTATTGACGGGCGCCGTGCACAAAATTGTACCATCTTGCTTTCCAAGCTAAAGATGACGGATGAAGAAATATGTCGGTAAGTGTGTATTTAAAATCTATGTAAAGATCAAACTCATTGGACAGAACCGCCAGTCACTAAGAACTTCATTCCTCAATAGCCAGGTTTTTTATGACTTTACGTTTATACCTGTTCTTTAAGTAAGCTAGATTTGACAATATATTGTAATATTATTAAATTAATCCGATCAATAATGTACTTTGTCCTTAGAGCGATATTACGGATGGACAATAACGAGCAACTACCCATCGATATGGTGGAACAGCTGCTCAAGTTCACACCCAGCGCTGAGGAGGCCGCCCTGTTAGAGGAGCACCAAGACGAGCTTGATAGCATGGCGAGAGCCGACCGGTTTCTATACGAGATTTCCAAGTTAGTACAATTATAGAAAATATATATTCCCGATATTTAGCAGGGTTATATCACATTACTGTGTGCAAGTTCTCAGTATATAGTGGGGGGGGGGGGGGGGGGTTCCTTATATTGCGTTAGTTGTGCGTTTCGTTAATGTAATATTTTTATTAGCCATAATTTTTTTTTTATGGATCACAATGAAATGGTAAACCCGTCTATGCTATCAGTATACACTGGCAGAGCATTAGTGAGAGATGATTGGTGAGGATGAAAAGGTAGGTCGGTTAGTCCATCGTGACGAATTTAACGATAAATTAATCATAATAGTTTCCAGGGAGATCCGCGTGGAGGTTGGTCTGATAGCGTATACTGTTAGCAATGGGGACTAACTTCGCCATTACTAACAATTCCATGCTCCCGCTATAATTTAGTTATATCCTCAAAAAGATGGCGATGATTTCGGTTTTAACCTGTACTCGCAACTAAGAATTGTGAAAGCATTGAATAACGTGAGCGTGGCGGCGGCGACAGGATCCCGCACTACTCGCAGCGCGTGCGCACGCTGCTGTTCAAGAAGAAGTTCGCGGCGGCGGCGGCCGAGGCGCAGGCGCGCGCCGCCAGCGTGCTGCGCGCCGCGCGCGACATGACGCGCTCGCGCCGCCTGCGCGCGCTGCTCGAGCTCGTGCTCGCGCTCGGCAACTACATGAACAGGTACCGCGCGCGGGGCTCCTCACGAGCTTTCATTAACCTGTAGTGTATGTTCGTTTATTTATTTACATCAAATCCTGTAAGGTGAATTAGAACTATTTCATTTGATTAAGTTGAAGTTTTGCATACAACTTTGGTTCTAGTGACAATGCAAAATGCAGTATTCAATATTATATAACTTTCAAAATGGTCGCTGTCTCATGATGGCGAATAGTGTATATTTTGTTAACATTTAACGATCCAACAATCCCTTCCTCCCGAATTGATAGGGTCAGCCATCTAAACTTTAAATTTCGTAAAAAAAAAACCATTCAAATATTTATTATTCGTTTATTTTATTATTAAAAACTTTTCAATTATAAGATATTAAAGGCAGTATAGGAAAACAGAAATAAAATTTAATAATGAGAAATAGAAATCGGCACTATTTAATTGAGAAATATAAATAGTACCGTGTAGTCCCGACATAGAATGGGCCACCCCTTTCATTCCCGTGAATGTCGCAAGACACTATTGAGGGAAGTTAATGGTCAAGGGATCAGCAGGAGGGAGGCAGCAGCGTTTTTCTTGAAGCGTCACTGGCCCACTTAACTGCGATTGCCAACCCGCCTGCCAAGCATGGTAACTACTGGCAAAACCTCAAAATATGGGCAGGTCTATATTCAGCAGTGGACAGTTAACAGTTGGCTTGATAATGATGAAGAACGAGAAATAAACAATTATTTACATTTTTCTATTAATATTATTGTTTTAAAGAATGACAATTTTCTCATAATTATTATTCAAATCTAGGGGTGCCCGCGGCAATGCTTCTGGGTTCCGGTTATCGTCGTTGAACAAACTTGCAGACACGAAATCCAGTGTATCACGAAATACCACCTTATTACATTTCCTCGTAGAAATGCTCGAAACACAGGTGAGTGTAATTTAATATAATTATCGGCTTTACTCACGTATTAAATTAAGGGTTGGCAAACTTCTTTTGGACTCGACGAATGTCTGTTATTTATGATTTGTTCGTAACTGTGACCTTAAGAATAAGGGCTCTTTTTATATAACTCCTGTAGAAGTCCACGAAAAATAGTTGTTTTCTGTATAACTAGTATCAGATGCATTAATACTTTTCGAACATATTTAATCCATAATTCAAATTTGATCCTAATCTATGTTTTTTTTTTAATACCGAATACTGTGCGTGCTACATTTCACAGCTATCAGTTTTTAATTGTGGCACTATTGTATGTAACATATATTTTCAGTTCAAAGACATACTTCTGCTAGAAGAGGACTTGCCGCACGTCCGCGCGGCGGCCAAGGTATGCGTGGAGCAGCTGGAGAAGGACGTGGCGGCGCTGCGCAGCGGGCTGCGCGAGGTGGCGCGCGAGCTGGAGTACCACGCGTCGCTGCCCGCGCCCGCCGCGCCGCACGACGCCTTCCAGCCAGTCATGCGCGAGTTCCACGCGCACGCCGTCTGCACATTCACGCAGCTGGAGGATCTCTTCCAGGTAATCATTTGACTCCCGTCACGTGCTCTTGCTGAGTACCGCTTTTTCTCTGTAATTGAAGGACTAGCCTAATATTAAGGCGTGTATTGAAGGAGTAAGTTAATGTCGACCAGAGAAAGCTAGTAAAGTTTGTGGCAAGAAAAATTTGAAGATGCAATGCCAAGATGTCTGCCAGCGTGTTAGTAGCAACACTAATGCAAATAATGGTATTTTTTTTAGAATACCTCTCAAAAAATTACCTCAGAGTTTATGCAGTTTAACTGCCTAGCTATGCAATAAAAAGTAATGTAGTCACATGTACCGAGATTGTATCCACTTCATAGTCAGATGTTGTCAAGTGAAACATGTGATACCAGGACATGAAGAGCCGGCTGGAGACGTGCGCACACACGTTCGGCGAGGAGGCGAGCGCATCGCCCGAACAGCTGTTCGGCGTGCTGGACGTTTTCCTGCAGCAGCTGGCTGACGCGCGCGCCGACTGCGACGCGGCGCGCCGCCGCCGTGACGACGAGCAGCGCCGCACGCGCCACGAACAGGAGGTGACGTGCACCACTCGCATACACACGCCCACACTCGCACAGACACTACTATACAGCCTTTACATGCTTTCATACCTCATATACACACAGACTATACACGCTCTGAGTTTCTCATACATTGAATATCCCCACAAATTTTACTCACTCTCACGTAACCTTTAAAAGATCAAAAACATCAACACTATATTTACCTACACTTAAATGACTATTATGTATACGCATATACTTATAAAATAACAATTGCTCTTGCATAATCTCGTACATCTCACATTCAGCCTCATAATCTTTTCACGTTCTCATATAATATTTTCACTTCGTATACGCTCAAGCAACATACACTTGTTCTCACATAATCTCTTATACTTCATCTGCATTCATACAATTTTCATTCGCTTACACAACCTCTCACAAGGCGCATAATCATTCGTCATCTTTTCTGCCTGTATCTACTCACTACTGGATATATGCCTTCTCCAATTCTTTCTAACTTGTGTGAGCCTCCGGTTTTCATACTGAAAGCAACAGAATATTGGTTTTTATGGACATGCACTCTTCACACCACGCATATTAGACAAAACGCTTTAAAAATATTTATAAAATTTATACTTTCTTTCAATGAAAATCTAATCAAAAGTCATCATAATTACTTGATCTTACATGTTATTTAAACATAAGATAAAGTATTAACAATAATAATAACCTTCCTTTTTATTTTACAGCTCAAAAAACGCACCCTGGAACGCAAACAAGCCTCAAGCCTGCTTAGTTCCGTAGGGAAGTCACTAGGCAAATCAAACGGAACAGCAGACTGCAACGGTCACGCCAACGGAGACGCATCCCGGGACGGTACACTGACAAATGGTCAGAAAGGTGAGTTCGACGACCTTATCTCGGCCTTGAGGACCGGTGATGTCTTCGGAGACGACGTAGCCAAGTTCAAGAGATCTCGGAAAGCTTCCAAAGCCAGTCATAAAGGGAGAGATTCTCCTCCGAGAGGAGTTTGCAGGGAAGACTCTAGGGAAAGGCAGAAGAACTGAACAAAGAAAAAGAAAGAAAGGTTGTGTAAGCAACGCTTGAATGTCTAATAAACTGTAGAATTACAGTCGTAGAATAATTTCAATACGTGATATATTCCTGGTTTTATTTAGACGACATTCTGAACGTGATAAGGTTTTCGAGTCGCAAATATTGAGATTATAATATTGTGTGAGTAGGAATCTTGTGGAACAAATATGGCGATGTTTATGGCTATTCTGTAAGGATACCAAATGTTATCGATATCAATCGACCACCGACGCAACTGACGACTGGATTGCTACTACGAAGCTAAAATAAAAATATGGGAGACGAGTTAATATAAAGAGAAAAGTAGATTCATTGCTTTACTTTTATCTTTTTAAGAAGCTTCAGTTTTAAACCAGTTGCTAGTTTGTTGATAATATTGTTTAATAAAAATAGCAAATAAATATTACTCGAAATTAGTAATGTTAGATATTCAGATTGGCTTTTTTGAGACATAGGAGTTGATTCCGAGATACCTTTCTAAACCCATTTCAGAACTTCTAATATGATATTATAAAAATTAAGGGCCAATATGGGCTAAATTTTTAGTAGATTTTAGTCAAAATTATTATAAATTTTATTTAAAATGATCTATAAAACAATAATTTCATGATACTATCAAATTCAAATATTAGGTTATGAGATAGTTTTAGAATAATGGCATCTCAGAATCAATCCCACTTTTTATTTATAGAATCCATGGTGATTACACTATGAAATATTTTAACACCAATGAAGTGTCATAAAATTTTAGGCAACAACGAATATCCGCTGCCATTTAGGTACCTATTACTTTAATAATACCACATATTATTCTTAAGAACACAATTTTGGTGCCTAAATATGTAAGATTTTCGGATTTTTTTTTTAATTTTTGACGATTTGGCCTTTGGCTATCGACTGATGAAGTCAAAGACTGGCATGTTATTCCATAGACCTAATTATATACAATATTTGTACTGATAAGCGATGTGTGATTTGAATAACCATAGAGTAGTGTATTGATTTTTTTCAATAGAGTTTTTTATGTGTATAGATAAAAACTTATTTTCTAGGCCGTCCTTACAGAAATATTTGAGTTTATTTTTATACTGTGTTACTTTTACTTCAATGATACATCAAGTCTGTTCAAATATCGGGGTTTACCAGAATGTTATGAGTTTTTTTTTTATTAAAATGATCTAAGTAAGTACCTACGTGTTTTTACGATGTTGTAATGACGGTCCAATTTAAGTAATGTTTCAAGTTATGGGGCATAATGTTTACATATCCTCTAATATCTTGTCACACAAAGCACTGCAAGATTTTTTTGTAAAATATTATGAATTGACATATTCCTATTGTATTAATTGATAACAATAATATATATTTAGGAATTGACACAACAGGCTACCAACAAATGGATTTTAGGATTTTTTAATACAATTTATAAGAAGTAGATAAAATTTTTGATAAATTTACATTATACAGATTTCCTATTGATTTTTTTTTAATATTTCTTAAATTTATACATTTTATAAAGTGATACGTGAAGTTATTTTATTTTTTGTAAATATTATTTTAATTTGCCAAAATTTGTTACCGTGACGACATAGAAAGAGAACTCTAGTAATTTATTCAAATTTCGTATGTACCGAAGTTTATGATTATGTAAATTTTATTGTTTTGTTCAGTATTGTATAAGCGTATAGTATATTAATGTAATTATTATAACTACTTATAGACTATTTAAATTAAATATTTGAAACTATACCGTCTTTTATTTTACATGGAGTATACTTTATATTTATATACGTGCGAGAAATGGGCAAGCGTCCCTCTTAAAACATCTCTAAAGCCTAATTGCGGTTGCCAGTCCATTTGCCAAGCGTAACGTGGCGTGGTAGTTTAGCAGTTGATAGTTAAAGGCTGATATTATGATGATGATACTTTATTTTTGTAGGTACCTGTATTTTTGTATCTTTGTAAGCTTTTGCTAAATTAAGTATAAAGATAAACAATAAAAAAAATAAGGGTAGGCGGTAATTATACAGTCAAGAAATCTAATGCACTAGGTCTTAAACTTATAAGACTGGAAATCTTAATTTGTTGCCGAAAATGTCGTAACTGGTAGCGCCCATGTGTGAATTTTATACCATTGTTTGAATACTTTTTTATTTACCTTAAAACGGAGAGGGGGGAATTAATAATATGGTTTAACGGCCTCATTGCTAGTAATATACGCCATTAGGTCAACCTTCACGTGATCCCCCTGGATCGTAGTTACTTTTTGTTGCATTCGTCAAAATGGGCCAACCAACTTGATTTTATCGTCACATATCATCGCTTACTGATGCCAGCGTATAACGTATAAGGCAAACAGGACTATCATTCCATGATTACCCATTAAAAAGATACATTATTTACAGGGTACAGAGTAATAACATCTGAGTCGTCAGGAATGGCAACGCGTGGGGGGTATCATGGGCGTAACAGTATACTCTGTTATGTTCATGATACTGCTCATGTCTATACGCGACGGTTACCACTTTCCATCAGGTGGGCCGTCAGCTTGTTTGCCATTCTAAGTTATATAAAAAAAAAAAAAATAAAAAAACATTAAATAGAGATAGAAAATATTGTTGTTTTTTAATTCACCTTGAAGGCAAGCAAAGACAACTAGATCATACAGACTATTTTTTTTTAATCACTTGTCATCAGAAAAGTGCCATATAAATATTTTTCTCAAACATGCTTGGAAATGTGAGCATTACTTTGACAATCTTCTTAGAGATAAATCAAAATTGCTGTACTGGCCAGATACATGAGGGCAGCGGCCGGCAAAAGTTGTTTGAAAATCCATATCTGTCGTGTTTTGCGGCCAGATAAATTACTATGTAAACTCATATCTGTCCTCTAATTTAAAAATGGAATGACCTTTTATTTAGAAACATGGCTACCAAGGAGGTAACTAATAAAAGGTTTTATTTAAATTTCGAACTGGCTTGCAAATAGAAAGCTGTTTATTGAAGAAAAAAAAAACAAAGAAACATTATGGCGCGTTAAAAATTTTATTTTTCGTTATTTGTCATTGAACTTAAAAAGTAAATTTGTGTTTTTGATTTCCGCGCATTGTTTGAGAAAAGTACTATACAAGCCTTGGCCACAACTGGGCATTGATGGGCTCAATTGACGTCCATCAATGCCTTAGTTGCGGGGAGAAAGGGATTGTTAGTAATGGAGACTGAGAATCCCATTGCTAGCAATATACCCAACCAGGTCGACCTCCTCGCGGTTCTCCCTGGAAACTATCATGGTTTATTCCTAATGAATTAATCGTGATGGGCTAACTGGCCTGTTTTCATTCTCATCTATCACCCTTCACTGGTGCTCCGCCAGCGTATCCCGTTAGCGCAGGCGGGGTTACCATACCATTTTCACCAATCAAAAAAAAAATGCCTCAGTTGCTGGCCGCTGCAGTAATGTACTATAAAAACAAAAACAAGCACTTAACAAATAGGTATACATTTAAAAAAAAAACATTTTTTTATAACATACAATAATACTAGCGGGCTCGAAAACAACCTAGAATATTCTAAAAGCAAGATAATAGTAGCAAGAAAGTTATTTAGAACAATTAACAACAAGTATAGTGTTACTATTTTAATGAATTTTCCTGGCGGGAACATCCATGTACAATACAGTACAATTAAGTTCTGTTGAGTTTACAACTTGAGACTGAAGCTAGTATAATGAGTGACGGATAGTGAATATGTGCGCTTCTCAACTGCGAGTTTATTAGCCGGAAATTCGATAGTACGAACAAATAACACGAAATGTAACTTCATTTTGTATTCAAAAATAGATACTGTGATTGGAGAAACAATGGGAACAATGCACGTCATGTGAACTGTATGTGAATATTTATATAAATATTTTTTTTTTAACACAGGGGGCAAACGAGCATGCGGCTCACCTGATGGTAAGTGACTACCGCCGCCCGTGGTCACCCACAACACCTACGGCATTGCAGGTGTGCTGCCGGCCTTTTAAAAATGAATATGCTCTTTTCTTGAAGATTATGTTGTCGTATCGGTTCGGAAATACTGCTGCTGGAAGTTGATTCCAAAGAGTGGTTGTGCGTGGGAGAAAGTGCCTTGAAAAACGCACGGTGGAGGATCGCCACTCGTCCAGATGGTTGGGATGAAATATATATGCTAGCTTTTTGTATGATAATTGAATGATAACCCGGCCTGCGCTATCGGTATACATTGACAAGGCAACAGTGAGGATGAAAAGACAGGTCATGACAAATTCAACGATAAGTTAGTCACGATGGTTTCCAGAGGGAACTGCATAAAGGCGACGGTTACCACATTCCATCAGGTAGGCCGTCAGCTCGTTTGCCATTTTAAGTTGCATAAAATAAAAGTTAATACAAGGAAATTGCTTTTCCAATATTTGCTAAAACAATTGAAGATTGTAACAAAATTAGATACCTACAATTTAATTTCAACATTTTAATAAAGAATATTTTTTATAAAGACTTTTATGAATAGAATTCATGAAATCAAATATTTTGTAAAAAACGTAATCAAAATTAAATAATCATTCGAATCATCATTATCATCAGCAACACATTTTGATGATGATAATCTAAGTGATTAAAAAGGGACTACTGGTTGACTTTAAAAGGGAAATTTTTGAATAGAATATTTCTGTATGTTTCGTGATATGGATATATTTCGCGATTTTTTTCAATGAAAAAAATCGCCGTACTGGCCAGTAAACAGTACTATTCTTTAATGGGTAATAATGGAATGGTAACCCCACCCGCGCTATCGGTATACACCGGGGAGGCATGTGAAGGATGATAGGTAAGGATGAAGGAGGTCAGTTAGCCCATCGTGACGAATTCAACAAGAATTGTTCACGATGGTTTCCAGGGCGTGACCACGTGGAGGTCGACCTAATAGGGCATATTACTAGCAATGGGGCTGTTAAACTCTATTGCCAACAATCCCTTTCCCCCCAAACAGTGCTATTAGCATAGTAATTTCATCAAAATTGAAGATATTTTTTTCTATAACAAAATATTTGTAGTCAATGAGAAATTCAAATATTCTTAGACAAAAAATCTGTTGAAAGTTTAGAAAACTTTATTAATGAAATTACTAAGGTGAATAAGTGTTAAATGTTCTTTCTTGTAAGACATGATGGAACTACTATTCTAGTTCTAGCGACAACAGGTTCTAATTCTTTCAGCGATTGCAATATTGCGATCCTTAGTCTCATAAAATTAAATACCAAGTTATTTTAAAAATATTTTATTAATTTAATCTTGAATTTTTGATCAATATTTTTTATTATCTACACACAATAAATCAAATATAATAAAATACAATATTTGGATGAATAAATATAATATATAACATATGACAAAGTTATCTATGTAACAGTATATAGTTGTACTATTTAATATGTTTATAATATTTGAATTAATAAATAATAATAGAATTTCCAAAGTAGTGACTTGAAATGTTTTTTTTAGACTAATAAAACAAATTAACGTTTTCAAACAAACAAGAACCTATATAATCATTAATATAAATTATTTGAATTCATTTCCATGTTTATAAATTGACAACAGATTTAGATTTTTTAGGTTTGATTAAAAAATACACATAATTCGTTGTTCTTATATCTAATCGTACATAAAACATATCTAATTGGTTAAATACAATTTGACACATACAATCACAATCAATTAATCAATTAATATATCTTCGGTTAGGCAGGTATACTGGAATATCAAGGGGATGGAGTTACTAGTAACGGAAACTTGTCCATTGTAATTAACATCTGGTGAATTAATCAAGATAGGGCAAGTGAGTTGTCTTCATTGTTATATATTATCATTCCATCTATTTTCTGGTTTATATAACTGAATATAAACTGTATAGACTGTGTAGGTACGTACTGGAGGAGATATACATATATCTATAATCCAGTCTATTATGATTGTTAGCTGAGATTTTAAAACCGGTGGATGTGTAGGAGGATATTTGGCCCTCGCTTCTCTCTGCCTATCCCTTAAGGGACTTGGCGTGGAAATAATTATAATAGCATATAGAACAACGTACATTGAGGTCAATTCCGAGGAGCCATTCTGCAAACCTATCTCTAAAATTAAAATATTAATTCGATAGTTTAGCATAACTATTGTGTTACGGATCATTAAATATTTAATTTAATTTCGTCCGCAATTTAATTGAACATACCTAGCGGTTTGTAATAAATCTTTCATTGTTGTATTGGACTAAAATTCCAATTTAAGAGATAGAGAATGGCTATCTAAAATCAATTCTATTACAGGACAATCATCTGCAAATTCTTAATCAAGACTTTTATCTTATTTTTGTAAAATTGTTGTTTGTGTAAAGACAATTTTAATGATATCAAATTACGAAGACGTATTTTCTAACAAAGTAATATTTTATGTACACTATCTAATACACAGATTAATATTTTATTATTATTAATTTATAAAGACGTCAATATTAAAGCCATAAAAATGTACCAAAAATATAGAACGGTAGGACTTGTAATGAGTCTTGTATTTCTACCGACAACAATTTGACCATAAGAAGAAGTAATTTTTATGGTTTTTACAAAATATAACAGAACCGTGAATTGTATTATATAAATGCTAAAGACAAACGCGGATTGGCTATTTGACCGCCTTGGTGGTGTACCGGTTTAACAATACCACCTCAAATTCCGATGGTCCCGGGTTCTACTCACACACAATACAAACGTTTGTGTTCATAATTATCTTTGTATTCAGCTGAATATTTACTACGTCAAGGGTTCCTAAACTTTTAAGATAACGGAACGCCTATCAAACACCTTTTATCTTATGGAACCCCATATCAAACGATTACAAATCAAAAACACTGTAATTTAAATAAGAACAAAAGCTTTTATTAGATATATTTTAAAACTGGTATTGGTTTTCGCCGCACGTAGCCGCCTAAAGGGGACGTGGGAGAGCGGTCCGGGGCGCGGGCCCCCTTCTGCTGGTGTCGCTCGCCGCACATTACTATGTGCAGGGTAGTTGGGGTGGAAACTTGCCGGTGACTTCAGAGGAAATATTTTAAAAGTATAAAACTTTATAGTTTCCTTTTATTTTTTATTTGAAGAATGAAATTGTTTCACTGTGTATATAATTTCGTGGAACTCGTGTGACTTTTTATAAAACTCCTAGGTTTAGTGGAATCCACTTTAGGAATTGTTGTACTACGTATTATATTTACAAAAAAAGTATATGTTGTATTTTTGTTTAATACCCGTAATACATGCTCTACTTTATTTATATGCTATGTAATTATATTGGCGGTAATGATTTATTATTATTTATATCAATATAAGTGTGCAATTTAATTGTAGCTAACCATATAAAAGAAAGCTTAAGATGATAGCTTCAAAATTAATAATCAAACATTTTATATTATTAACTTCTAATGATAATATTAATTATAAAATTTTGCAATCTAATAGCACAAATATTACGTTATAAATTATTACAGATATTATACGCTATTAAATTTTAATATAATCGACAAATACGAAATTTGATGTAGAAAATTTGAAGAATTTGGACGTAAGCCAGTGTATTTTATTAATTTAAAGCTTTATTATTTTTATAGATCAGATGATTTGTATTAAATTTTATTTTTGTATAATATATAAAAAAATAATCATATCCTACAATAAATAAATATTTATTTCACATTGACACTCATAGCTATTATCACAGACCCTAACACGACTCATTAAATTGTCAGCACCTCTCATCGAATAATTTCTCCGACATAATAAAAAATATATAGTTTTTATACTAAACAAAAATGTTTCTGGACTACTTACTTCTTGTATCATTCATATTGAGTCCAGTAATTTACTACTAGACTCTAAGAGCAACATAATAATTATGCAGTTATAATAACTTAGAAAAGTAATAATTAATATTTAAGAACATCTAATGAAATACTCAACCTTTATATATAATATCAGGATATACATACTAATATGTACTCGTATATTCGTATTATAATATCTTACTAAATAAGTAAATTACATTAATTGACAAAATTCTAAAGATTCAGGTTTTTTTAATTGAATGAATAGAATTATTAATGAAACAAAAATAGCTCCCTTCAAAGGACAAAATTTCGAATTGTCTAATTGATACTACATAATACTAATAATATGAAGTAATATATATTAAGTATATTAATTGATAATTTGATCCCAAAAATCACTTAAATAATCAATTATATTAATTATCATCATCATCGGCACTATCAGTATTTTGGTTCTCAATACTACATAGATATGTTTTAAATTGGTTAGTATCCTGATCAAATAATTTCCCCATAATACCATCTTTAATAAATCCCTTTGGTTGTGCAATGGCCTCAAATTTACTCTCTATTGACATTTTTCTCTTCTTATTTTCATATGAAACAATATTTAAATCTAAAGAGAAACTGCGTTTTATTTCTTTTTGCGACTTTATTTTTTCGTATTCAGTGCGATACGTATTTTCATTTAATGTATCAGTCGTATGTTCTACGTAACCTTCGTTACCGTAAGCATTCGTCATTTCATCAGATGCATCGTTTTCATCATCCTTCAATTTAGTTTTACTGAAAATCAAATGTTCTTTATCTATAATAGTAACGCCGGGCGAACGTTTCTGAAATAGTTTACAAGATGGTCCAAACAGTTGAAACTTTTTGTTATTATGAGTGCTGTCTTCATATATAGTATCATCTGACCTCTCCAAATCCGATCGCGATCGATTTTCTTGTATTGTACAAAGTTCTAAATCTTTTTGGTAGAATCGATTTTCAGTTTTAATGTTTTCTGATAGTTCGTCGTTGAAGACAATTTTTTTATCTTTGATATGCTTTTTGGAAGATACCGATATCATCGTTTCAGTTGAGTTGTAGCAGGTGTTTGCTTCGTTCGTACCAGACGTCTTGTGTGTTGGCGACAGTGTTGTGTTGTGACCCTTTTCAGTTTGTGATTGCATTTTATTATTATGCATTCCGAATATGCGTTTAATTGACTGCCGGAACTGAATAACAAATATTATTTATTACTATTTTAATACAATAATTATATTTAGTTGTGTTTATATCTTAATTTTTGTAAAGTAATTATAGGTATTTTAAGAAACAATTTTACTCACTTGTGTGTTCATCCCAACGTATATAAGGGGATTATAGCAGATCGAGCTTTTGGCCACTAAAGCTGGTATAACTCCGGCTCCGGGAGAAATCTAGGACAAAGATCAGATTATTAAAATTGATAAAATTATATATGATTTTGTATTGAATTAAGTTAAAATACAGTTATATAAATTAGTGTTATAGACGTGGAAGACAAGGACCGACAATTAGACGTGAGCGAGTTAAATATATAAATACGCTGCACTTCTGCAATCTCGTAATTCAAGACATTGGTATTAGCGGTAACCAAGCCATAGGCAGAAGCGAGTAGCTCCATAAATATGAATCGTACTTCGGTGAGCACTAAAAACCACTATGGATCAGATTCAAATGTCTTCGTTCATAAAGAGTTTGAAGAAAAAAGCAATAATTTAATCAATCGGCTAAAGAGACGTAGAGATGATGAGGATATTGTAAACGAATTTAAAAAATTCTAAGATGAGATAAGGACAATGCTTATAGAATGGAAATCGGATAATGACCATAAATTATCAAAATTGCAGACTGATATAACGGATGTAAAAAACATGTTAACCGATGTCCAAAAAACCAACTTTGAAATAGAGAAATCCTTGAAATTCCTATCTACTCAATATGATGATATGATCCTTAAAATACTTAACTTAGAAGAAAGTACCAATGTATACTAACAACAGATTAAAGACTTACAAAACAAAATTGAAGAGTTCCAAAGGCTGTCCTGTGTAAGTACGTTAGAAATAAGGAACGTTCCTGTATGTGTCACTGAAAATCAATCTGACTTACTTAAAATTGTTGAAAATGTCACCAAAGCAGTGGGCGCAAATGTATTATTGAATGATATAAATGATATAAGAAGATTACCAGGTAAACCAAACATTAAAAAACCCATTATAGTAAAATTCAACACACCTTGCTGCCAAACCCCAGTAAATACCTTAAGCTTTTAATACAAAATATTAGGAGTATATCTTGTAATTGGACAGGAATGGAGGCCTTTTTGTCTCGTCTAAAAATAGAAAGTGATATGATTTTTACCGAATGCTGGCTGTCTTGTCAACCCACTACCAGAGGGAGACTTTGTACAAAAGTCGAATGCTTGGGTACCTCTGTCCCATTCGTGTTTCTAACGTGAAGCAGTTGTGTTTGCATGGTTGTGTTTCAGTTTGAAGGGTGGGATATGGCGTGAATTTACAGGGTACAGAGGAATAACATTGAGTCCTCAGAAATGACAACGCATGGGGGGTATCATGGGCGAAACAGTATGTGTGTGTACTGTTATGTCCATGGTACTGCTCATGTCTATAGGCGATGGTTACCACTTTCTATCAGGTGGGCCGTCAGCTTGTTTGTCATTCTAAGTCGTATAAAAATAAAAAAAATAAAAAAAAAAATAAACTTAGATGGTTATAGACATTTTTTTACAAAGAAGATACATAACCAAAATGATGGAGTTGTTGTGTATATTAAAAATAATGTATATGTTTCTGTGGATGAACAAAATGATCTGGAGGGAAGTTGTTTGATTTTGCAAATTAATAAAGACACAGCTATTATTGCAATATATCGATCCCCGTCCTTTCGGGATACAAATAATTTCATAAATAGCCTTAACAATATTTTGTCCTCGTTGACTATGTATAAGAATGTCATCGTAACTGGTGATATTAATATCGATATAAAAACAATAACACAGACTCGCGTTCTTGAGATTATCTAACAACACTTGCATTCCACGGCCTCCTACCGGCTCATATTTACCCAACCAGGTACGACAACTGTCTTGATCATGTAATGATTAGATCCAGTTTATCTTCTACTACAATGGATTACACCAGGGCTCTTACGTTGCATTAGAAACAGGGATAAACTTTTCAAAAAAGTTAAAAAAATTCCTAATAACGTCGGTTATGATACAACCTATCGTAGGTACTGTAATTTCTGTAATTCTCTACTGAAAAAAATAAAAAAGGAATATGAAAAAGGTGAAATTCAAAAAGCTGGAACTGATAATAATAAAATTTGGACCGCTGTCAAAAAAATAACACATCTACAAAAATCTAAAAATTATGCACAAAATTTACTCTCCTTATCAGAAACGTCACACAAAACAGTGAATGAAATGAATAATTATTTCGTTGGTGTAGGCCGTCGCCTTGCAGATAGTATTCCGCATAATCAAACCCTCTTACCATTGTCATTATTTAATGACAATGGTAAGAGGGTTTGATAATAACCCACACTCACCAATCAATTCATTTGTACTGGAGAGTGCAGACAAATCAGAGATTGAACGACTAATACTGTCCTTACGAGATGATTGCGCGGTAGGTTGGGATGGTATATCGAGTGGATTTCTTAAACAATACTCCAAAATATTAATTCGACCTTTAACATATCTATTTAATGTATATCTCTCAAAAGAGGTCTTTCCTCTGGTTTTCAAAAAGGCTATAGTCCACCCTATACATAAGGGTGAAGAAAATGACCACTTACAGAAGTGGTCATTTTCTATAGTTACAGAGTTACATGGTCTATAGTTACAGAACTATAGACCAATTTCTGTTTTGCCGGCACTTTCCAAAGTATTAGAACGACTTATTAAAAAACGTCTTCGTAAGTTTTTAGATAAGCAGGAGATATTATCAGATAAACAGTTTGGCTTCAGACCAGCCCGATCTATGTCTGACGCTGTCTCAAATCTGACTGATACCATCGTGAAACATCTAGACGAAGGCAAAAAGTGTCTAGATCTTTTCTTAGACCTCGCCAGGGCGTTCGATACGGTCTCCATACCCATTCTGAAACTGGAAAACATAGGCATTAGAGGCCTTCAATTAGATCTATTCAGAGATTTCCTGACCAATCGGACTCAATGTGTTCAACTCGGTTCCCACCTTAGTGATGAGCTGGTCCTGGAATATGGAACTCCTCAAAGTAGTGTTCTTTCTCCCACCTTGTTTTTGATCTACATTAACGAACTTGGTCACCTCGATATACAAAATGGAGCAATGACCCTCTTTGCAGATGATACTACGGTCATCTTCTGGGGTGATACTTGGGAAGATACTTTTAAATTGGCTCATTCGGGATTTGGCACAGTGTTAAATTGGCTTTCTAATAATTCACTTACATTAAATGCTAATAAAACCATTATTATTCCTTTCTATATACGCAACACTACACCTTCTAATGCTTTTCATCTGTTTGCTCACTGCTGTAGAATTTCAGATCAAAAACCCTGTTCCTGTCCCGAGTTAAAAAGAGTAAACACAATTAAATATTTAGGCATATTACTTGACTGCAATCTCAAATTCCACGAACATATTAATCGAAAGTTGATTTACGTATTTAAACAATTAAGACATGTATCGAATTTTAAATTACTAAAACGGTTTATTTCGCTCTGTGTCAGTCAATTCTCACTTACTGCATTACATCATGGGGCGGAGCATATAAATCACACCTTATCACCCTGGAAAGAGCACAGCGTGCGCTTCTCAAGGTATGCACATTTCACTCCATCTACTACTTGACACATGAATTATACCGAGATTGTGAAATTCTTTCAGTTAGAAAACTATTTGTTTTGTACATAACTTTAAAACAGCATCAAATATTACCCAGCGATTTTAATACCTCAAAAAGACGTAAAGATATAACAAACATCGCTTTAGAACAATACTTTCACAAAGATTTTTCTGTTTCCTCGGCAGCCATCTTTATAATAATATAAACCGTATTTTGAACATATATTCATATTCGTACTTCAATTGTAAAACTGCACTTAAAACATGGTTATTGAGTCTGATGTACGATGACACGGAAAACTTACTGAAGGTTACGTATTAAATTTATTTATTTACATTACAACTTATGAAAATATTATTAAAATAATGTACATTGTGTAAGTATGTGTAGGATATATCGGTTGTATAACCTTAACTATATATATTAATGTTGTTATTATATTCATAACCAGAGCAAAATATAAAACAGTGCCAACACCGTGGGGTGAGGACCTGGTGATCTGTAACATAGGTTTATCCTACTTCATAATACATTAACTTATGTAACCTCCAAAAATAGATATATTAGAATATAATAGATGTACAACTGGTATTGTGAAGAGAATAAACTTTATTATTATTAAAGAAATTATTTAACATTTCTGTTAATTAAATATAAAATAGTCGTTATGAAGCTTCAGTTTATTTTGTTAATTTTGAAAGTTACTTTAAATACAAATATTTTATATAAATTGTTGCTTACAATTCCTTCCGTAGCAAACTGTTCCATTAAGGCGAACAAGGAGTACGGTGTCCAGGCTATTGTGAATGATATAATCATTATAAAGACCATAGCGGTAGCTCTGGTTTCCGCCCGGCTTACTCGTCCGAGTCGTTGGGAATTCTGCAATGAAGAGTAGTAGAGTAATTTTTGACAAAGTAATGAGTAGTAAAGACCAAAATTGAACAAATTCTAATAGCTTTTTTATGGTTATTAAAATATGATGTTACCTTTTTCAGCGTTCTAATAATGTTGACATAGCTATAGGTGATGACAGTGAGTGGAATAATCTGTCCTAATGCAAATAGGAACATAATGTATGTGAGCGTATTCGTAGACTGTTCATGCCAGTTCACTGAACAGCTGCAATTAAGAATAGGTGTTTTAAAACATAACATACTCTTTATTGCGCAAAAAATAGAGGAATAGAATGTGTGTTTACAAAACACCTTATCATTAAAAGCTATCTCTTATAGACAACTAGAATTTTATTTTATCAACCTTATTAACCTGTGTCAATCTGAATTTTATATGTCTTGAAATGGGTGTAATATATCTGGTGTACTACTGCTATTGGGCCATTGAAGCATCGAAATATCGACTGTGAAGTAATAAGAATAAATGATCTTTATTGTTATGGTTAAGTTTCCTACCACGATAATAGCGAACAAATGCCTCTCACTATTGTATTATGGAGTATTATACGATATAAATATAGTTAAACTGACTACTTTGTTATGTTTTTCATCAAACTTGGGGTTATTAATTACCTGATATTAGCAGCTTCATTGACATAGTTCCCCCAACCTATTAGCGGTGGAGTAGTGAGTGCCAAGGAGTAGGTCCAAATAAATACTATGGATAAAATAGCTCCCTTCGAACTCAAGTGTCTGGAACTCAGTGGACGAGTGACCAACATGTATCTCTCGAAAGATATCACTGTTAGTGTAGTGATGGATGTTATACCTGGAACAATGTTTATTCTTTTATATAAGAATTAAAACATTTTTTATTCAAGTAAATATAATTACTAGCATTTTTGAAAAGACATTTTTGTAAATTTACTGCTTATTCGAAATACAAGTTCAGATGAGAAGAATGAGCAAGAAACTTAATTTATGCTTTTTATAACAAAAGTTGGTTAAATAATTCTAAATTTGTGAAATTAAAACTCTTGTAAACTTATATATAACTTAAAACTTTAAACTATATATATATATATAGTTTAATATATATTATACAGTTAGGCTTGTGATGACGTTTTAAAAGAGACGCTGCTGTCCTTCCCTCAACTATTAAGTTCCATTAATCATCTCTTACGACACCCACGGAAATGGTAAGGATGGCTTATTCTGTGTCGGGGCTACGCGGTAAAATTACAACACAAAATTACAACATAAAAACTTTGTAATAATTATCAACATACGTAAAAGCAGTTCCATCTAATTTCAAACTAAACAGATCTTATATTAGCCGCGTTATCAAACAGAAATTTTTTTAAATGCGTACCTATAAAGACAATTTCAGACTCTAACGACCCACCTGATGGAAAGTGGTATTATTATTATTGAGAGATGGGCTTTTTCAGGCAGAAAAACCACTAACACTGCGACCTTTCCATGATCTTTTGTATTCGCCCTTTTTTAAAGTTCGCTGGTAATTCTGAATGCTGAAAGTGGTAACCGTCGCCTATATATACAAACAACCATTATAAGTTGTCAATTCAGAGAATTTCGCAGTCCTCAAAAAGTGACCGTTTATGCAATGTTATGCCTCCGTTCCCTATAATTCCACTGCTATATTCTATTCGTCAATGTGAAACCCATCCATGCAAGTATAACTACTTGCACATGTTTCACATCATAGCAGAAATACAAGTGGGATAAAGGTCCCAAAAAAATTTTGTGAAAATCATTTTAGTTGTTAAGTTTTTAAATAAAAATAATTGGTTTTACCACATATAAAGTCGCTTTTTTGTGATTATACAATATTAAAAATCATTCATAATATAAAGAAATTGATAATAAATTACAATCTTATTTCATAGTTGATAAGACTGAGAGATTTTTTAACAAACAGATAGTATAGTAACAGTAACAAGTACCATGTAGAAAGACAGATACTTTTTTTAGAATTATAATGAAATAGTAACCCCGCCTGCGCTAACGGTATACGCTGACAGGGCACCAGTGAGAGATGATAGATGAAAATGAATAGGCAGGTCAGTTAACCTATTGTGATGATTACACCTGGAATTCAGCACGATGGTTTCCAGGAGGGACCACGTGGAGGTCGACCTGGCAGGGTATATTACTAGTAATGGGACTGGTAGTCTGCATTACTAACAATCCTTTCCCCTCAACACACATACTATATCTTAGTACTACCGTTAATCTATGCGGTACGTACGATTTCAAATATTTATTGGAGAATACAATGAAGGCACACTGTTAGCGAACAATATGTGTCAAAAAATAAATATGTATCAAAAAAATAGCAAAGAGTTCGCTATAATAGTTTGGTACTGGAACATTGTTTTGTTTAAAAAATATCCTTATATTTTCCATCTACAATTTAACTTTCGCGTTCTCACCATCAGTGTCAGGTTTCCAAAATGGAATATTGAAAAATATCTATTTCAATTTGCTATTTCAGTTTTTTATTTTGCGCGTTTTCATTAAAACCCTCTCGAGTATTCGTTTTTCTATTGTTCGGCATATTTTTAATTGGAGACGTAGGTACCTATATCTAATTTTAATAATTTTATAAGTGTAAAAGTTTGTAAAGGTTTGTATGTTTGTTAGTTAATCACGCTTTATGGGCTAAAATTTGATACATATACTGTATTAAGGCATAGGGTACATTTTATTACAATTCACGTGGGCAAAGTTGTGGCATATATATAATATACATGAAGATTGACGAAGCGGTTACGGCGCCAAAAACTAACATACAAGCTCATTTTTATATTTATAATATCAGTAAATATTAATATACTTTTAAGTGTCATCATTATCATCATCATACCAGCCTTTAACTGTCTACTGCTGAACATAAGCCTCCCCTTTGGGGAGTTTTGCCAGTAGTTGCTACGCTTGGCAGGAGGATTGGTAACCGCAGTAAGACTTTAGAGATATTTTAAGAGGGACGTTACTGCCCATCCCTCGCCCTCCCTTAATCGTCTTTTACAACACCCACTGGAAAGGAAGTGGTAGGCCACCCCTTCCTCACTATGCCGGGGCCAAGTGTCTACATACTAACAATTTTTTTTTTAATGGGTGGAGATGGAATAGTGACTTTGCCTGAGCTATCAGTATACGCTGGTGAGGTACCAGAAAGAGATGACAAATGAGAATAAAAAAAGGCCAGTTGGTCTATCGTGACTAATTCAATAACGATTTACCATGATAATTTTTAGGAGAAACCGCGTAGAGGTCAACTTGATAGGGTGTCTATACACCCTTGCTTGTATCAATCAATTTCACTCCAAATAATTGATTAGATATAGATATTTTAGTTTGGTACAACAAATTAGATTGTAGCAAAACAAACGAATGACCGTTTAGCTAGAATATGGTATATAATCATGAGGCCAATTGATCTAGGCAGACATTTTAAAGAGTAGACCAAGTGGTATACTATGATCATTTTATGTTACTATGGTACACCAATGAAAAAAAAAATTGTTACTTGTTTTATATATTTTCCTTTTTTTTTATTTATTATATGTATACATTTATCTTTTTTTACTGTGTATGTCTGTTGTTATTTGTGTGCTGTAAATAATGCAAATAAATTATATATCTATCTACTCCTTAAAATCTATACCATATTATTATCTATACCATGGTCTAAAAATATATCGTACTTACGTTTTATTCGTAGACCATGCTATGGTGTGCCCTATAGTGGAACATAGGCTAAATAATAATATATGTCGTCAAATAATATAACTTACCCAATAAAGCCATAAAGAAACCATAAAGGACACACATGGTGTGTCCAAACACCCATCGGTGGAAGAGCGCTGAGATGAGCGTGAAAGGATTCCCCAACACTGATACGGAGAAATCTGAACACACCAAGTTGAACAATATGATGTTCAGTGGTGTCCATAGCTGGGGAAAAATAAGAACAGTTATTTATTTATTTATTTAAATCTCTAATAAATATATTTGCTTATGAATATTTTATTTTAAAATGTGTAGCTACAGTTTTTTGTCTTGTGATATTAATAACAATTTAAGGTAGGTATAAAGAAGTAATAAGAGATAGTAATTCTCCAAAAAAATATTACGATATTGGAATAAATGTTTCTTGTTATAAAAAAAAAAACTACAAAATTGATTTACAACTAGGCCTATCTACGAGGAATAAATATAAAATCAGCTCCTTTTTTACGTCGGTTAAAATAAAAATAAAAGTGAGTTTCTATTACTTTGAAAAAGTTGCGATATAAACCCTCTTAACCACAAACAATTGCATCATTGTACAATTTATTTAAGTAATTTCAAACTATTTTCCATTATTTAATATTTATAAAGGCAGAAATTTATTGCAGATACCGCGATACAATATTGTATTTACAAACCCCGGATATGCATGTACATATATAATGCCAATCACAAACAAAACAACCATATGTGACTGCTATTTCAAGAAAGAGAGCTGAGAAATTCAAATTTATTCATAACAAATGGGCTAACTGACCTGCCTTTTTATTCTTACCTATCATTCCTCACTAGTACCCCGCTAGCGTATACTGTTAGCGCAGACGGGGTTACAACTCCATTATCATCCATTAAAAAAAACAGTTTTAACGTGCAGGGGTGAGTATAGAGGGTACTCCAAGCTCATGAGAGAGAATTACTCTCTCACTGTGTTGTTGATAAAAATATTTACATAATTTTACTTTTCACCAATCAAAATTTTAATCAACTTTAAAAACAGGAGATTTGTCTGTCATTTATAAACCGATTTTAAATTTTTTTTTTATTTTAAAAAAATATACTCTCAGATTGGTCTCGTCGATATTTAATCCAAATTGGATTAGAAATTAGATTTTAAATCAAAATAACTGGTTTTGATTCGATTGAAGACGATTTTATTTCGTTTGTGGGGCAAAATTAAGTAAATTTTGCTATAACCTTTCATGTGACTGAATTTATATAATTACCTGTCTATCTTTAAACATCAGCAGTATCACCATGAGGTTTAAAAAGAAACCGAAGAATCCTATAAGAAACAATACGAATGCGGACGCCACATAACCCCATTTTGGCATCAACAGTGGAAAATCTTCTTCATACGCCTTTATCACTGTGTAGTTGATGTTGTTATTAAACGAAGTCATTTTAATGCCACTTTTAATAAATCACTAACTTTATTGAATCTACATTTTGCTGCCTGTTTTTCCACATTTACTGTGATGTCACGAATATCTGTAAAGAAAAAAAAATTTAATTTAGATGATTAGTGATGATCCTTACTGATGTTATAAACTAAGTTTTGCCCGCAACTTTGTTCGGTAACAGACAAACTCACTATCACATTTATAGTATTAATAAAGAAGTAAGGATGCAAAAGGGAGCTTGTTTGTTACCTTTTACTGCTTTAATAGCTTAAACAATCACTAAAAATTATATGACGGAATGGACAGCAGAGTCCTTCTTAAAACATCTGTAAAGCCTAACTACGGTTGCCACTCAGCCTGCTAAGCGTGGCAACTACTGGCAAACCTTCATGTTAAGCAGTAAACAGTTACAGGCTCTTATGATGATGTACTACTTGTATGTGGAAGGGAAAGGGATTGTTAGTAATGGGGTCAAATAGCCCCATCACTAACAATATAAGTTGTGGACAAAAGCTTGTAATACTAATAAATTAATACATTTAAGATTTTGATACACAATAGGTAAAGATTGTCGTCCTCCGTGGCGCAGCGGTCAACACGCCTGCCTGCGACTTGGAGGCCCCGGGTTCGATCCCCGGCCAGGTCATGATGGAAAACGATCTTTTCCTGATTGGCCTGGGTCTTGGATGTTTATCTATATATGTATCTGTTATAAATATAGTATCGTTGAGTTAGTATCCCATAACACAAGTCTCGAACTTACTTTGGGGCTAGCTCAATCTGTGTGATTTGTCCGTATATATTTTATATTTATTGTGTTCTACAAAATAAAAACCCGCCTAGAAACTAAAGTATTAAACCGATTTTGATAACATTTTTATAGGGCTAATCTGTTGGTATATCCTTTCAAATAAAAAAAAGAATTTTCCAAATCGCTTTAGAACTGACGAAGTTATGAAAATATAAAAAATATCTTTTTTTGAAGTCGGTTGAAAAAGCTTTAAAATTCAAAAATTCAAAATTCAAAAATCATTTATTCATGTAGGACATTTTAATTGTGAAAAAATTAGATTGGCATGATTATGAAAATTATTAATTGTAAAAGAATACTAGACTAGATGCCATTGTTCGTGTGTAATCAATAATAATTATATTTAAATCTCTACTGTATTAGTTTAGTCTCGAAATTGTAACAAATATACAAAACAATTTATTCTTCATAAAAATATTTCAAGCAAAAATTTAAGAAAATATTTTCATTTCTTGCTAACAGGACAAATAATCTTTCTTGGTTTTTAATAACTGAAATTCTTAGAATGCCTAGGTGGTATTTCAAGAATTTCAGCCATTATATGTTGCATTTTTGTTTGCGCGCACACAAAAGGACAATGTGGATTGCTTTTGTCAAACAGGATATTCTATACCTACATCAATATCGTCCTTGGCTATAAACCGCAGATAAATGGAAACCTTGTTTGTGGTTTTGGTTCACTAACATATAATGTACGCATCTACATAATATATGACAGTACAAGAATGCATTATCATACAATTTGGTTCTGTCACGACAAAATATTATAAAGGATCAACTCGTAAAGCTGGATGTAAAACCTTCTGAATACAGAAAGAATTAACCGAGATATCCGCGCAATATTACACAAAAAAATAAAGGCGCATGGTGCAGATACTTCCTTCCTTTTGAACTTGTTTAAATAGATTTCCCTTTATTGAAGGATTAGTGAACGGTTCAATGTACAGCCTAATTAAATTTATTTTTAATAAAGAAAAAAGAGAAGAAAATTCTTAAATTTAATCATTTTTCATTAGTAATTTTTTATTATTCTACCTCCCATTCGAAACGCAATTTCAGTTAAGAAGGATTGTCATAAAACTAAGGTATTATTTTTTTCAAGAAGTTTAATTACATAAATAATTTGTATGAATACAAATCACTTAGTAGTATTAGATCATACAATTTAAGATATTAGAACATAAATAGAATAAATTAATAAAATAAATCAGTTACAGTGACTAGAGCAGACCAGTGCTGCCTGTAGGGAGCACGAGTATAATGAATGAGCTAGCCATAATTGCTATCAATCATATTTTAGGAAACCCAGCACATCACGCCATAACCTACTTGACCATTTTAGTTAGCAAGACTTACTCAAGGTACTCTACCACGTCATAATTAAATTGAAATAAATTCATACTACATACCAGACACAGTATTCACATATTACAGCAAAGAGAATTGTGATTATTAATAATAAAACCGCTATGCAATCTTAATTTGACAATTGTGATAATAAGATAAAAAACAATAATGTTAACCAATTAAAAATTATAAACATGGTAATGTTGTATTTTTAATAAATTATTATTATTCATAAACACTTCTTAATGTATTCAATAAGAAGTGTTCTACAAAAATAATTAGCAAATTATCTATAATATATATTTGTAAATATCTATACTATTCAAGATATTCGTACAAATTATTCAGCCAACAGCTGATTTTAATTTAAGCTTTTGTGCTTTATCTAATAGTTCATTAAATAAATTACGCTATTTACATTACAAAATTAGTTTCAAGTATGCTTCATTAGATTATTTTATTTCCAATATCATATCAAACTTGTTTACAGTATCCTAGAATATTTTAAACTATAGTATCCACCTCGTATATAGTAAGTACTATAGGACAGTTTCGTGAAGTCTATATAGTACCTGTTGCTGAGCTCATGGCTCCGTCAACAAAAAACTGCTACTGCATTGATATTTTTACATCACATGTATAGAATTAAATTAGTTGCATTATACTAATAAATATTGTTAAAAAGAATAATATTTTAGTCTCTTGTAATTAACGCATTAAAAAAGTAGAGATTTACACGTGAAATTGTCAATGACATTTAGTGTCGGGAAACTGATTTATATTCGTATATATTTTCGCAATATAATTAAAGTAGGTACGATTTATAATAATAAAGTAAAAATAAACAATTTCTAATCTTAATACACTTAAAACTAAAACTTAATAAACAAAACATGTCACTGTGATAAATGTTGTTTGTGACATGTTTTATATATTCAATAATAATATTATATAAATTTAGTTTAAAAACGAAAACTTACCTTTTCTTTCTTATTTAGCATTAACTGAATATATACATTATACATACATTGTACAATACTTTGATTTTCTTATGATGAATTAAATTTTTATTTATTTACGTATTAATTTTCGCGTATCCTGAAATCTAGTTGGGAGTGCTCGCGAAATCGAGAGGCGAGCAGATCTCGACACAATTTGTAACGCACTGAATGAGTAAGGGTAGCACACCCTTATATATATAATGACGATGAATATTATATATCAAGCCACTTATAGCATCGCCGTGTTCGCACTGAAAACACGTCTGAAATTAAATTGCATTTGTTTACTCGAGTAGTTAAATACTTCTCTCTGTTGTATCTAGTTTCACTTAACAGTGGGCATGATTTAATCCTATTTTCGTATTATAATCTTTTAATAAAATATTTGAACTGTTTGTTACTTTTAACTATTAATAATATAATAAATTATGAGGTATTATAATTATTTCATTAGTACATTTATCTTAAGTTCCAAAATTATAAATGGCGATTATATTGATGACTGACTAGCAATTGTTCACTGACTTTCATCATTACAATATACCCTATAAGTATTCCAGAAGTCAACTCTAAGGCACCCATTTATGTTTGAATTGTCCCAACTGTCGAAATTATTTGACAAATATTATTTTGAGAAAAATTATATTATTTTCGTGTTTATAAATCCTGTGTTTCAGAACTTGTGTTTATACATTTGCGTTTAACTGCTAACTAAATTGACATAGTAATAAAATTAAGACAGAATATAGCGTACAAATTAAACACATTATTTTAAAATTACTTGTCATAAAAATATTAAAAGATTATGATATAAAGCTGCTAATTTAAGCGCTAGGTGCAAATAAATCCTTACTATCTTCACAAATATTATAAATATGAGAGAAAGTTTATTTGTTTGTTAAGTCTTAGCGCTTGAACGGCTTAACTAATCACTATGAAATCTAATATACTCGTATTATATGGAATGGAGAAAGCATATAGTCCACTTCTAATTTCTGTCAATCAACATATTCGGGCATGCGGAAAAAATCGCGGGTGAAAGCTAGTATTATACAAAATCAAGCAGTTAAATTTTGTTGGTTTTGATAAAAAAATTACCACCCATCAAAAGTTTACAACACTGTCAAATGCACTCCTTCACGAAATGGTAAGAACAAACAATGGACATTTTAAATTGGTTTTAAAATACTCAAAAAATCGTTGGAATTGTGTGCTTGGATATTTCGTTGATTATTTTACAAATAACCGTTTAAATTATTCATAAAGCTTTTTTTATTTAGACTTTATTAATGCACAGTAAAATTTTATGTACATTCGGCGGACTTAACAAGACTTAACAAAGCTTTTATATCGCGAAATTAAAAAAAAAATGACAGAATGATTATATCCGTATAGTAAAAAAATTAATTTATAGCTCAAACACACTTAGAAATATTCTAGACCAGATAGCTATTTTACAAAATGAGATTTAGAAAAAATATGTTTGAAAAAAGAACAGCATGCTCAGTTAATCTTAACTCTAATTTACAAACCCATCATTATATCAGATGCTAACTGTCCATAACTGAACATAGCCCTCCCCTTTAAGGAATTTTGTTACTAGTTGCCACGATTGGCAGGTAAGTTGGCAACCGCAGTTAGGCTTTGGGATGTTTTAAGAGGGACGTTGTTCCTCATCTCGACAAAAGAAAGGGGTGGCATATTATATGCCGGAACCACGCGGCGAGTTTGTAAACTGCAAGTTTTTATTTTTAAAAAATAATTATTTATTGAAATTTATTATACACAATAAGAAATGATCGAGATATGTGATTTACCAGACGGAGACTGTACAAAAGTCGTTTGCTAGGACACCTCTGTCCCTTTCGTGTTTCTAACGTAAAGCGGTTGTGTTTGCATGGCTGTGTTCCTGTGTTTCTGTTTGAAGGGTGGGATATGACAGTGAATTTACAGGGTACAGAAGAATAATACTTGAGTCCTCAGGAATAGTAACGCAAGAGGGGTGGGGAGATCATGGACGAGACAGTATACACTGTTATGTCTATGGTATTGCTCATGTCTATAGGTGAAGGTTACCATTCTAAGTTGCATAAAAAATGTGATATTTCATTATAAGATTAGATATGTGTATATTTATATATTGCAAATGTATGAACGTTATTGGAAATACATAAATGCATATATATACCTTGTGTGTATAATACAGTGGACTAAGATTTAATTCTCCATAGATTATGCTGTAGACATCTTTTGTAATCCGAAAATTATCTGCTTTAGAGCAATATTCCTTCAAGACAGTTCCTTAATAAAGTTACTTAATGAATCTTTTACCTTTTGTGTAGTTTGAGGGTTTACCGTTTTTTAATAAGCATTTCAAAAATCTTCAAAGCCTCTATATTCCAGTTAAGATTATTAGCATAATATTAGTATTATAATATTAATATAATATTAGTAAATGTTAAAAGTGTTGAAAATGGACCCAAAGTCCCGATACTAATCTGTAGCCGTACGTGAATAGTTATTTATATATTTTATTTATATATAACTCTTACAAATACAAATACAAAGACTTTATTGTGGATTATAGGTTAAATTAAGTTATTACATGAATTGTGTGCAATTAAGTATAAATAAATAAATGTTATAATGAATGAATAACTATCTAATGCTTAATATATATGTATTGTTAGAGATAGATACTGAGGCTGCTACTAGTTTTATTATAAATATCTTTCTTCAGAGAGGACAATCGAACGTTTATTGTTTGCTTTTCAATGCAGAGCGATGTCATTTCCAAGATTTGTTTTCAATTCAGTATGAAGGCGGTGGAATTTACTGGACAGATTACAGCGGACAAGTCTGCAGAGATAATTATTTATACGGTTTTGTCTGTATTTGACCGTTTATGTCTTCATAGGTGTCAGGTGTGTGTGACCACAAGATTCGTCCTCAAAAGCAATTTAGCATTAAAATTGAGGACAAAACTAATTAGTCACTAGCTATAGTTTTGCTCGCATAAATTCTATTAATATTATAAATGTGAAAGTTTAAAAAGAAAGATAGATGTATGAATGTTTGTTACTCTTTAACGTAAAAACTAATAAATGAAATTTGATACACGGGTAGGTTATATCCTAAGTTAGCACATATAGGATATGTATGTACTTTATGTACTCATCCACGCGAAAGAAGTCGCGGGATATAGCTAGTTAGGATATAAATCGTCCTATATACCATTTAGTCCGTTTATTTGTTTAAGCAAAGCTAAATTGACATGATATGAAATTGATTTTCTTTCATAAATAAAAGAACTGTAGTTTAAATAAGTTTGAATAAATAACATATATCCATTTTTAATGTCTATTTCAAATATCTATCAATGAAATTATCAAAATATTTTATTTTTTAAGGTTAACATAAGTTACAGTAAACAATGACGCGTTTTTTATTATTCTATTAAATTCAAGTCTTAGTACATCAATTGTATTAAAGTTGATGGAACTGTATAAACTTCACAAGACTTCAGTGTTTTGCTTCGACTTTCTTATTGGAGAACATTTGTATGTTTTTACAACACGTGCTATGTTCACGTGTACAAATAATCCATTTCAAGATATACTTTAAATTTCAACATCTTTGCTTTGCGTAAATGAGGCTTCGGATTTAGTTCCCGGTCAAATCAATATAGGAAATATACTTTCTGAATTGTTCAGATCTTTATGTTCGGAGCTCAGATTATATAGCTAGAGCATCGAGCCTCAAAAACGGGTCAACTTTTTGTCAGCTTATTGTCAAATTAGCGGACTGGTTTTTTATTGATGTTCTATATACGCACACAATGTATTTTGACGTATCTATGTAAAAGTCTATCTTATATTAATATTTATTTTGTTCAATTGGTATCGAAACATTTGATAATAAAAGCTTCAGTCACACACAAAATAGAATAGAAAAAAAAAGAATCATAGATAAAGAATATAACTTACGTACTTTACTAGTAGGAAGACAAAATTTATGACTAATTAAACGACTATTCAAAATGTTTGTAATTAAGATTACTTGAATAAATATGTAATCAAGTCAAATCACATTTTCTTTCACTGTAGTTACTCTTTTGCATTCAATTCCATTTGTAATTTTTGGACTAGACATATTTCCTTGTGTGTGCTATGTATGTATTTATATGTGTTTATGTTTATGTACATATATGTATTTTGTATATATATATATATATATATATATATATATATATATATATATATATATATATATATATATATATATATTAATAAATTATATGTATTTGATATTTTTGTGCATTACAGGTTTTTGTATTTTATACACGAATGGTGCAATAAAAAGTTAAATAAATAAATAATGCATAAATTCTTATTGTTTTATTATTATACTAATTTCCACATAAAATAATTGGAAATCAATGTAAGTAAATTATTTATCATAGCTAGGTCTATAATTTAGTTATATAAACTGACAAATATTACAATACAAGTAAATAATTTACTTTTAACTAGCTACCTTTCTAAACTTGTTATATAAAGCGGCAATCGTTTTTAAAACTGACAAAGTCTGAAGCTAATTGGATTATCTGGACTTCAAATCCGATTGACAGAGGATGTAGAAAATCCTTTTTTTTTTCATTATTCGATCATGATATCAAAGCTAGGGCCTGTAAGCTTTTATTTTTAATAGGCAACAAGGTATGGAACTAAATGTTGCGTAGTTTAATTAACAAAATCCAACTATGTTACATTGTATTAATTAGTATGTACTTGATAATCCTATATATATTTTTATGGCAGTCTATGGGGAAGGCTTATGTCCAACAGTGGACGAAAAATGGCTGAAATGATGTGGATAATCCTATAGGATTCTATGCATTATATACAGAGTGAAAACAAAATCATTAGTTTAATTTTAAGGAAGTGTCTAACCAATTATTCATATCATCAGGCATAAAGTCCACCCTGTAGACATATTTTAAAATGTGTTAAAATATAATTAATAAAAAAAAATTGTAAAATTTAATTAGTTCAAAATAGACAATGTCATCGCGACAATAACAAAAAAAATCAATCGAAATGAATGTGTTTATATTCATATTCATAAATAAATAGATATGAAATGTAAAACTAGATTAAGTAATCAAATAAATGAGCCATAGCGTATGAATTAGGAAATAAATGTACAGTGCGACAACGTCTTGAAATCACTTTAGCCTTTTTCCATCTAGAATTTCTGCAGTATCTCTTTGTTGGCAAAGAAAAATAAAACAAACTTTAATTTATAAGTAGAGCATCAAGTCTCCGTTGCAGTAATGTACTCTAGTAACTAATGAGTAGCTACAAACTTTAAATTGCTATATATTTGTAAAGAGAATGTTTAATGTAAGATACATATTTCAATTAAATATCTTAGAAGCTTGTTACTAAATATTTACCAAAGAATTTCTTTATTAAATAACTGAACACGCGCAAAGGAAAGTTGAAAACGTTATGTTGATTCTTGTAAATTCATTGGAGTTCTTTTTTTTGTTTTATTTTTATTGCATTGAAAATTTGTTTGTAACACAAACAAAGAGGATGAGTTTGTAAATGTTGGTGTAAAAATATGAACAAAAATACTATATTGATGTGGTGTTTTTTTTATACAACTTAGAATGGCAAACAATCTGACGGCACACCTGATGGAAAGTAGTAACCGTCGCCTTTAGACATGAGCAGTAACATGGACATAACAGAGTATACTCTTTCGCCCATGATACCCCCCCATGCGTTGTCATTCCTGAGGACTCAGGTGTTATTTCTCCGTACCCAGTAAATTCACGCCATATCCCACCCTTCAAACCGAAACACAGCCATGCAAACACAACTGCTTTACGGTTGAAACACAAATGCGACAGAGGTAGCCAAGCAATCGACTTTTGTACAAAGTCTCCCTCTGGTAATGAAATGTCAGAAAATCATATTATGACTTAGATTATAACAAAGTATAAGTGAATAAGAGTATGAAAGTACCAATAGAAACTAACCTTTCATGCTCAGATATATAGCATAGTGTAAGGAGAATACTTTATACTGTGTATATATTATGAAAGAGATTACTCAACCTAATTCGTTTCTCAAAGAACGAGATATTTTCCAGAGGTAAAATATGTACCTATTCTATCACTCTCTAGATTCGTAGCAAATATAAAAATAATAAAAACATATCGTAACTATGCTCTCTCTGTTGATGATATGCTCTGTTTCAAAGTAAGACATAAGATAGTAATTAGAACTTCGGAAACAATCTCTGCAGTCAATTGTACACCAGCACTCATTGTACATAAAAAAACACAATGATATAATTGAATAACTATCGTGAGTCATACTATATTGTACATATTTATGTTGGTTTTAAATTCGGAGATACTCGACTAGTTTCGAATATAATAGAAACCCTTATTAATGGGCACGGTTCACGGCTGTGTCGTAAATAACACGAAGTGAATTTAAAACATGAGTAAAGCTGATAAAAATCATTTCAATATACATTTATGATGATATCGATGATATATTTTTTATTGTAGTCACATACCCAACACATTATATTACTACCTTCTAACTTTAATAAAAAAAATAGGTTATTAATATTTTATGATATAAGCATTGTAAAAGAAACTTTAGAGCCAGAATAGAATTTATGCGTGAATAAATTTCATTATAAACATAAACCAAAATTTAACTAGACTTTTTTTTACTTATGATCATTTAAACCTAAGATGAAATACTATATTTAATATCTTTGCTTTAAATTAAAGCATCAAAATACGTCATTTATGTTATATACATCATTAAATAAATTCTATCATTAATGTCAAAGTTCTACAAGTATTTTTTTTTAAATTTCAATAAAAAAAATTACCTAATTATGACAGTACTAGATGATTTGCCCGTCCTGGAATCGTTATTCGGTATAGACTTAAAAACTGGCTCGCTAATAGTAGCGGCTGTGAGTATTGTACGTATTTTATTGCAATACTGTTTCCTATTTAATATTATGAATGTGAAAGTATTACACAGTTTTGTAATTTATCTGGGTTTAAAAGTGTCTCCATAAAATTGTATATATTTTGCTGTCCTAATAAAATTTTATGATATCATACTGTGTTATGGTAAATTATAAAAGTGTTCCCTGGGATATTATGTTACAAATCTGCTACAATTATATTTTTAATATTTAATATTACTTACAATCAGCTGTGCTGTGACATGCAAAAAAAAAATGCGTTTTTCAAAAGTATTAAAGTATATCATTTAAATTAATATAAAATTAATTTGAAATACTTAAATTGTATAATTATTATAACTGACAATATTATTTAAAAAAAATTTATGCTCACTTTTATATATTCTTATTCAAGTAGTAAGTACTTTCTAATTTTATCATTTTCGTGTATATAATACATCTTATACATGTGTAAGTATATTTGTTATTGATATATATTTATCTCTTTATAGATGTATATTTTGTATGTATATATGTATTAATTATTACTAGTACCACATTCGAGTATTCTAACACTTCCCTAAGGCTAACTGTTTGAGAATGCTTTTAGCATTAATTCCGACTATTATATATTCCGAATCATAATGTGTTCTGTATAATCCGCCGTTTTTAATATACTAGTTTATTATTATGCCATAAGCGCGAGACACCTATTAAACTCGGCGGGTTATATAAAGAAAATTCTATGTAGATGGATTCTGTGCATTTAAACTCTTTGTAATCCTCAACCACCATCATCATCATCATATCAGCCTTTAACTGTCCACTGCTGAACAAGCGTTTCCTTGAAGGGGTTTTGCCAGTAGTTGCCATGCTTGGTAGGCGGATTAGTAACCGCAGTCAGGCTTTAGAGATATTTAAAGAGGGACGCTGCTGCCATCCCTCGCCCTCCTATTTTATACTGGGACCACACGGCTAATTGCAATCCTCTATAGATTTTAAAAATAAGTTTATATAGCAAATATAATTTTCATTCAAATTTATAAAAGAAACATACTTTTATGGAGCAAAAATATCTGTGTAAATTTTAAAGAACACAGCGTAATTAATTACTTTGCTCAACTTTGATAAACAATGAGAGATTGTTTGATTTAATGAGATATCAGAATAATATGAGAAAACAACACCAGCTAATGAAACAGACTTGACTTTCATTATCAAGGAAAATTTCATATTAATTAATTACTGATCATCTTATACAAATAAGTAGCCTTAGGTACTAGAATTATTCGTTAGATAAAAAAAAAACCATAGAAAATTTTTGTTCACTGTTTCTATTTATTTATTTATTCTTTGTTGAAAAAGTAATACAAATACATATATGTATATATATATATATATATTAAAAATATGAAATACAAAATGCGGTTTTATTCTAAAGCAATCTCTTCCAGACGACCTTTGGATAGAAGATCCAATAGAATAAAAGAAATAGATAAATTTATTATTTATATATAATAAAATAGATTAATATTTTAATTTTATGTTTTATTTTATTTAAATAGAAATAATTTAATATATATATTTAGGAGATATATATTAATCTATTTCATTTTACTATTACTGGTAATTTACTATTTTATCTCAAAATTTAAGATTATCTTTGACCCCTACCCTTTTACAATTACAAACACAGTTTCTTAAACTTCGCCCAGAATTATTGAAACTCTCAACGTTCTACTATTCTTATCTTAAACCTTCATGTTTTTGGTAATTTGTAAACAAATATGTATTTCAAATATATATACTATTAACATTATAAAAGCGAAAATATATTGTTGTGTTGTTTGATATTTTTTACGCAAAAACTACAGAACGCATTTAATGAAATTTGGTACACGTGTAGATTATATGCTAACTCAGCACTTAGGATACTTCATGTACTGATTTATACAAGTGAAGCTGTGGGATATAGGTAGTATTAAATATTATATACTTTCATAGGTGCATCCAATGGCATACGGTTGCTCATTGTTCATGCGAATGAGCTACCTTCTTGTTACCATATGGATACTGGTGGCTTTATTTTTTGCTGCAAGCATTGTATTGTTGTGTGGTATACTTAAGGTGAACTAACATTATGCAATGTTTGAAATTGAACCTCAATGTAAATGGACATTAATGATTTATATTTCAGTCGTATAATTCAAATTATAAAATTAATTTTTTATATTTTGAAATAAAAAATAAAACTAATTATAAATTGATTTTGTAAATTGAACCTTGTGGCAAATGAAATAGTCTAATTTTCAATCGACTTCAAAGCAAGGAGGTTCTTATTTCGGTTGTATGTGTTATTATTTTTGTTACCTTAAAACTACGTCAGTTCTTAACCGATTTGTCGATCGATATTTTTATTTTTTATTTTAAAGGATATACTTAGAGCTTGGTCTCATACATTTTTATTTTATATCCTATATTTTAATTTAGCATATACCTAATCATACATTACAATATTCTATATATTCTATGTATCAAATTACTTTTCAAATCTGTACAGTATTTTTTATATGAAAGAGTAATAAATAGTCATACATCTTCACAAGCTTTCGGATTAATAATAGCAGTAGGATTCTACTAATTGTTAATATATTTCTAGGGCGATGCTCTGTTATGCGCCATCTGGATTTGGTATACGTTAATATTCGTGGCGGTGATGTTAACGTTGACGATCCTCCTTGCTCTGGTGTTCACATTCAGAAAACAAAGAAATAGAGTGTTTATTGTAATAATTGGTATACTTTGGTATCTATGTAAGTAATAACATATTTGAAATTCGAAATTACGGAATTTAAATAACGAATTACGGAAATCACCTAGTCCTCAGTCCATACCATGTGTTATGAGAAATTAAGTAACGAATATATGAAAATAAACTTCATTTACTAGTTTTTGGTAGATAATATAGCTATCCAATACTCGAAACCTAATGAGATAAAACTGAACTTTATTCGAGTTTTTCAATTTAATATACATTAAACTGAATAACTCGAACAAATTATTTATTCGAGTTGTTCAGTTGAATATATATTAAACTGAATAACTAGAATAAATAATTTGTTCAGTTTTAGGAATACTACAGATTTCTGCTAAATGAATACATCCATGGTGAACAATCCTGTATTTGAAATAAACTGCGTTAAAAATTTTAAAACGCAAAATTTAATAAGATTTTTATATTTCAGTGACAATATACTTCATTTTGGTCGTTAACAGCTATCGTAGGAGTATTGGGACAACCAAGTATATAAACGAATTGTTCTTACAAAAAGAAATTTAAAAATGTATATATGAATAAATGTAATAATTATGTATTAAATGTGTAATTATTAATTATATTTTTATTTTATTTTATTTCGTTGGTGTGATCAAGATTTGTTGATTGATAAAAATAAAATAAATTTTTATATCCTAAATACTGCAGACACACCGAATTCCTGGAAGATTGGTTGAGTCGTTAAGGCGCCAAGTGGTAACAATAAATTCATTTCCACATTAGTAAATATATATATGGTATGATATATTTATGGTATTGGTATATAAAAAAAAAAGCTATAAACATATAGTGCAAATTGCGCTAAACCTGCCAGCAGAAAGAACAGTGGCCGTCCGCGATTTACATGGTAGTCTAATTTAGAACCTCAGGTAACGACATATCCAGGATAGATTAACCTGGCGCACAAATGCGAGAAAATCTGATCTCACATAATTAATAAGGAGAGTAAAAAGTAAAAAAAAAAAATACGAGCATATTTAAAAAATAAAACTATAATCTAGAAAAAAAAGAAAATTAACACCAGAGAAAACTATGTGTTTTATCGCATGTTCATTTGTCCCTTATATTATAAAAAAATAATGTTGTTTCTGCCTAATCTAAACAGGATAAGATTTAATTATATAATAATAAAAGACTTGTGAGTCGAACTGCATTGTTAAGAAATTCAATAGTTTTATTAAGTTGACAAATTTATTTTATTCGTCGATTTCCGGTGTTGATGGTCTGCGTTTATTTTTTAATTCTAACCAATATGCGTAACCAATTAGGCAACCGTATAGAAGTATGCCTGTAACAAAATATATAACTTAGAAAATAATTACTAGAGAAACAGCCCATCTAATGTCGCCAACAAGGGAGGCGAAGGCGGGGGAGGAATTATTAGCAATGTGGCCACCTATCCGCCGCGTGAGGAGGACCGCGTAGAAGTCGACCAGACAAGATATACTGCTAGCAATGGTGCTAGCAGTATACCTTATCTGGTTGACCTCCACATGGTCTCTCCTGTAAACAATTGTATTTAATTTCACAATAAACCAACTAACCTGGCTTCGTCTTATCTTTTATCTTATCTTTTATACTCCACTAGTGCCCCGCCATAGCAAACCGTTAGCGTAGACAATTGCACCATTCTATCTTCATCCATAAAAAAATGTCGCTAATGGATAGATAAATAGCACCATGAATATCATAGAATGATTGGTTCTCTTTTATCGAAAAGGTTTTCCATGTTGCGTCTATGCCCATTTTATCTAATATTAAAGTGAATTTGTTAAAGTCCGGTTCTTTGTGACATTATGTTATTTTTGAGTCTTTTTATAAAAACAATTCCGAGGAATTGTTTACATTTCGAGTAATGGGGGAATATGTTTTTGTATAATAACTATATGTTATTTTATACTCGAATCGTTATTTTTGTTCGTGAATTTCAATTAGTTTTGTTTTCCATACATTGAAAATATCAAAGATATTAAATATTATACACAGGTGGAATGCTGAATATTTTTCAAGTTAACACAATTTTTCATGAATATTATATCTCGCAAAGGTTGGCAAACATAATAATATAAAAACAATTTATATATTTAAAAAATAAAGTGACAGTGTAATAGGTCTATTTTATACTACAGTGCATGCATGAAGATTGAAAAGGAGTGCAAGCAATAGAAATAAATGTGAGAAAAAAAAAACATTATGATCACCTCAAATGTTATGAGATCCTTATACATTTACATACATACCTTATACATTATGCATGAAATTTGCAAAAATGTATCTAACGGTAGATTCCTTTGCTTGTAAATTTACATAAAAAGATATCTGCAGAGTTAAGGTAACCGTCTATAAATCAGGTCGTTTGCTTATACCCACACTATTCTATACATATAAAAAATCCTAATATATCATATTTTATTTCAATTATTTCAATAAAATAGAAAAACCGATTATTACTCACCATAACCGATGATAGTAAAAATAATACTGAACAACCATGCAGAAAAGTTTGCCTCCTTACTATACATGGAGAGCAGTACAATCATGAGACAGAGTAATTGGATCAACCAAGTTGCAGTGATAACAACCCAACTTAATACCACAGATGCCTTTTCCTGTAAAAGTCAATGATCTTTAAAGAAGATATGTTAGGTAAAAGAATGTTTAGCACAGCACAGCTTATTAACATTAGAAAATTGTAGCTAGACGATGTTGTACGAAATGTTTGTAAGGGTGGATTTATTACCGAAAGAGATCTATCTAAAAGAGATCTATATGTCAACCTGGTGTAATGATGAAGGAATGATTACATTTTTTTTAACCGGTCCGGATATAGACTTCCAGGATTTTTACTTTATTAATTTTTTCATCTTACATACACTACACATCTACTCTAATGTACAGGAAATATTACATTAGAAGTTAATGTTTTAAATATTTTACCTTCTTAAGTCCCCAGATAAACCAGAGGTTGACAGCGAGCATGATTAAAGAATATAACACAGCTGTTATACTGAAGCTATATGCATTTCTCCAGGGGAATCCACCGCAGGAGTGACGACTGTCCATAGACAACACTTGGATTAACGTTGCTATGCAAGAAACTATCATTAAACACTGCAAAGAAATTAATAGAGAGTGAAATATGTAAATGATTAATGAACTTCTCTAGAACTGTTAAAGACCTAGCAACAAATAACAAATGTATGCACTTTTTGTGCAAAGTCTTTGTTAATTTTTGTTGTTGTTGTCAAACTGTTTATTAATTTATTTTTGGTAGAAATAAATATCTTACATTCTCATGGGTATGTTTAAATACTCGTATTAATTCAATTTTCAACAGACTTTAGAATAAGGAGGTTCTCTCTATTAGTTCTAAACTGAATTGGATAATTTTTTTTTAATTTTATTTTCTGAAGAGATATATTTACAGATTGGCTTCGTAGAATTATATCAAAATCGGTTGAGCAGTTTAATTTTTAGAACGAAATAACAGCTTTTTTGTAGGACGTAATATTTAATTATCTTAAGTAATTCTAACTACATAGAAAATGTCGTACATGTTAAAACTGAAACTGTTAGCGTTTTTCCACAATAGAAAGTTACAAATTAAACTGAAGGTTTTCCCAAAATTGTGTAGTCAATTTTTAATGCAACGTGTATTGAATGATAACTATAAAAGTTTTAGCCTCCAGTACGAATATAGCCTATTCAGTAGCCGAAATAGTACGAGAGCCAATTTTTTATCATTTTCGATTAATATTTATTTATTTTAACTGAGCATGGCATAAAATAGAAAACCATACAAAAATTTAACTATACACAGTTTACTAACCTTACGTTGTAAACATCATTAGTATTATTCGTATATACTTTAAAAAAATATATATTATCCACTTACGCTCATAAGTATCCCAAACACAGTAGCTCCAGTGCGTAGTGAATAGCGACATATGAAATTTTTCGGAATTAAAAAACCTAATGCCATTTTTCGAACTTATTCAGTTAAATATCAATACTAAAATAGCCTACTAGATGTAGACTCATACGTTAGCTATGTCACTATTTACAATACTTTAAGATTATGTTCCACAAAAAAGGCTTCATTTGTAGTAAAACTATTTATTTTGATTTAAAATTTAAACTAAGTAATTTAAAAGATTTTGCTAAAATTTCTGTGACACCAATCTGCAAGTTATTTAATATATAATTCTCGATTTTAGACAGGTAAATTATATTAAATATTAGTATTTTAAAGATTTCTACAATTAATATAAATTTATAATAATACCCCGTTTATAAAATATTAATTATGAACTTATTCAAATACTTCTTGAAATCTCAAAAAAAAAAAATTAAATTAATGATCAGGGACTGATCATTAATTTAATTTTTTTGATTCATGATCCGTACCCGACCCAAAAGTCCCCATGACACTTGCGGCATTTCCGCGTTGGATTGCCAGAGATATCCTTTGAGCCAGATCTGCAAGTATATTCTTTCAAATAAAAAAAGAATTTTTCAAATCGCTTTTACATCTAACCGAGTTATAAGGTAATAAATATAGAAAAAAAAATACAATTGAATTACGAACTGCTTTCTTTTTGGAGATGCTTGAAAAAACTCAATTCTCAAGTCGAATAAAAACTCATCGCTGTATTGGAACGTACCGTGCGACTGTACTAAACCCGGCTTTATCCTGTGAACTGAAGATAGCTCATAGCATACCTACGTCATGTAGATTGGAATAATTAATATGGAGCTTTTGTATGTCATAACTTTTATTTTAGTAAACGGCAACAATATAATAAATTCGCAAACTTTTTTTTTAGTTAGTAAGTTTTAATTATCATTAATTTGGTACACCATATGTTACTATTTTTTTTTATACAACTTAGAACGGCAAACAAGCTGACGGTCTACCTGGTGGAAAGTCGTAACCGTCACCTATAGACATGAGCAGTACCATGGACATAACAGAGTATACTGTTTCGCCCATGATACCCCCCATGCGTTGCCATTCCTGAGGACTCTGGTATTATTCCTTTGTACCCAGTAAATTCACGCCATATCCCACCCTTCAAACCGAAACACAGCCATGCAAACAGCTGCTTCACGGTTGAAACACAAATGGGACAGAGGTACCCAAGCAATCGACGTTGGTACATCATATGTTTATATGCAAAATCGCTAACCCCTGGAAATATTTGGATTAGATTATTTTTTGCTTATAGCTTATAGCCTATTCGACATCACAACGACTATAGGCGAAGCCGCGGTACACAACTAGTATAACATACTGGAATATAATATTCAAAACAATAACACTTAATAATGGTTTACTTAATCTGTTTCACCATTAAACACCATTAACATATAAACCAACAGATTTTGTACGATGGTAAATATTATTACATCATTAACTCATATAGTTCACGTTATCGTTTCAACATTATAATGAGACATGTGTTATTGTTTGGTACATTTTTAAAAACCATTACCACTTAAAAACTAGTTGATCATTATTCAAAAACCATTCTTAGATATTGCCTTACGCGTACATTTTGATTTCTTAATTTTAGAATTATGATTTGTATAAAAAAAAATAATTACGATTAGACAATCTAATGTTGAATTAAGGAACATTAACTAATAAATAGGTAGGTATAGCAGTAAGCGGTTTTGCTCGACGACCCTTCAAGAAGTTAGGTAAAACCCTAAGTTTTAATTTCTTGTTTAACCTGACCGAATTTGTGCATTTCTGCACCCGGGGTCGGTAATGTTGCAACTTCCTTAGTTGTTTTATAGATTTTTTTAAATTTTTTATTCTTTTTTTGTTTTTTTTTTTTTTTTTATAGTTGTCACGTTGCTCTCATTTTTGCTGTCGTAGTCTGTCTTCTGTAGTTTTTTTTTTTTTTATTATAGTTATTTGTCTTTAAAACCATTGTTTCATTATATTAAATATTTCAACGTACAGTCTATAATATCGCTCACATTTTTAAACAGGCGTGACAGATATGTATGTACATATATATGTACAGTTGTGAATTTATAAAAATATCATTTATATAAGGAGATATTTTTCTTAACCATAGTACAATATCCCCAAGAGAATAATGTTGATCCTCCAATTAGGAAGGCGTTTCTTGGTATTTTTAATTATGTATCTTGTTTTAAAATTAAAAGTATTTAAAAGTTATATTAATAACTGATTCACTATATGACAAAAACATGCACACTTATTATATTTATCGTGTATATTTACTTTTTCCAAAGTATAATTAAATGCATATCTCCTTTGAAATAGGAAAATGACAGTCTGTTTAAAATTTTTTTTTTCGTTACAATGTTTTCAGACTCATTACTTCATCAGTACTTTTTATTTTAAACTCTGTGTTTCGGTATGAAGGGCAATGAATTTACAGGTTACAAAAGAATAACACAATCTTTAGGAATGGCAACGCATGGGGGGTATCATAGGCGAAACAGTATTCTCTGTTATGTTCATAGTACTGCTCATGTCTATAGGCGACGGTTACCACTTTCCACCAAGTGGGTCATCAGCTTGTTTGCCATTCTAAATTGTATAAAAAAATATCTATCTGTATAATAAAAAAAAAATAATTGCCGAATAAAAGTAAATGCATAACTTCAGAACGGTTGGACATATTTGGTTAATTTTCTTTTGCGTTTTGTGACTCTCACGTTTGAATTTAAACAAAAATTAATTATTATTATTCCATTAGTATTTACGTTTGGTTTGTACTGATAAATTTAATTGTACCTGTAGCAGATGGTTTCGTAAAAATACATTTTAATACAAAATTATAGACGCAAACGTAAAATTTTGTACAATTTATACTAAAGACTCTGACATGAATGATATCATCAAAGTGGCGACTCTACGCGATTGTAACGACAATACAGATTTAGATGCAATCAAATTAGATCCCACATGGAGACACAGTATGTTTGGTTGCAAGTGTGTGGAAGTACTACGCGATATGTTCAAGTTCAAGTAAGTTAATCTTTAAAATATTAGAGATAGGTTCATCAGCATCATCAATGCAGAAATAAGTCACATATAAAGATTTATTTTGTCATAACTTTGTAATAACTGTTGCATGTTAGTAATGTTTTTTAATATTACCATGTACCACATTTTAGCAATAAATTTTATTCTTTCATTCACTATTTCAAATAATTTTCTCATAAAAATAGTCCTTAAGATTGGTAACTTACATTGAGTACCGTAAAGGTCGTATTGTATTTTGTGGCGAACATGTTGCGACTGCGCCATTTTTTTTAATGTATGAAAACGGAATGGTAACCCCGTCTTTGCTATTAGTATACGCTGATGGGGCCAGTAATCGATAATAGGTGAGGATGAAAGCCCATTGCTGGCCCATTGTTAAGAATTCAACAAGAATTAACTACGATGATTTCCAGGGAGAACCGTGTAGTGGTTGGCCTATATATTGGTATATTGCTAGTAATGTGGCTGTTACAATCCATTGCTAACAATCCCTTCGTCCCTTAATTAAGCCTCTGTACCCAGTAACATCACTGCCATTTCGCACTTTTCAACTTTCACTTTTTTTAAACTCAGTCATACAAAGCTGGTTGATAGCAGAAACAAAAGAATAGCATAACGGTATCTATGCAGACGACTTTTGTTTTCATCTCGCACTATATCTACTACAGTTTCTGTATCTATATATATATGTTTGTTTTTTTTAGTATAACGTACATACCAATTAAACCAAATATGGAGTCTTACGCATTGTCCCTTCTACGTAACGATTCAGTAGATATATACACGAGGCCGATTAGCATAAGAGGAGAGCTTCTGGACAATATATTTCCATTGCAGTCTATTTTCTCATGGAGGTACGTACCTACGTTCTGTATGAAAGTAAATTAATTCCAACGACAACAAATAAATATATTTTTCTTGTATTTACGTATTTGGAACGCTTTATTTCTTTCAACCGACTTAAAATTGGAGGATTTTCTCAATTCGATTGTATTATTTTTATGTTTGTTATATCATAACTCCTTTTAAATGAAGGAATTATGGAACCGATTTGTAAAATTCAATTTTTTTTTTCTCTAAAAGATACACTCTTAGATTGGTCCTTTAGAAATTTATAAAAAAAAATTATACAACTCAGAATGACAAACAAGCTGACGACCCACCTAATGTAAAGTGGTAATCGTCGCCTATAGACATAAGTAGTACTATGGACATAACAAAGTATACTGGTTCGCCCATGATACCCCCCACACGTTGATATTCCTCAGGACTCAGGTTTTATTTCCCTGTACTCTGCAAATTCACGCCATATTCCATTACTTCAAACCGAAACACAGCCATACAAACACAACTGCTTTACCGTTGAAACACGAATGGGACAGAGGTACTCAAGCAATCGACTTTTGTACAAAGTTTCCCTCTAGTAAAGTCGGTTCATGAGTGATAACTTAAGCCGTAAAGGTGCCAAAAGGTAACAAACAAACTTACTTTCACATTTATAACATTAGGACGTTCAGTAAGGATAAAAGAATTAAATCTACAGGATCATTTAATTGTTACACTATAAGTGGTTACCTTTCTCGCAAGTGACAGAGTATAAACTGTGTACACACGGCACTCCTCAAGAAAAGTTCTTTACTAAAAAGATTTCTTGAAAATTGCTCGGGAAATTCATTAACAAGAATATTAAATTTTGTAATCTTTAGTTAGTAAGTTTTCTAATGAGTGAAAAAAGAATGGTAACTCCGCCAGTGCTATTGGTTTACACTTGCGTGGTAGTAATGAGGGACGATAAGTGAGAATGAAAAATGAGGTTGACTGGGAGAGAATGCTATATATAGCGTTAAGTCTATCAGTAGTGGTATTCTATAAAGTCAAACTCGAGACTCACTGGCGACCCCGCGAGTGATTTTTTTTGATGGGTGAAAATGAAAAACCCCGCCTGCGCTAACGGGATACGCTGGCGGAACACCAGTGAAGGGTGATAGATGAGAATGAAAACAGGCCGGTTAGCCCATCATGATGAATTCATCAGGAATTAACCACGATAGTTTCCAGGGAGAACCACGAGAAGGTCGACCTGGTTGGGTAAATAGCTAGTAATGGGATTCTCAGTCTCCATTACTAACAATCCCTACCCCCCCCCCCCCCCACCGCGAGTGATTTAGATACATTTAGTATTCTATAACAACACCATTTCGTAAATATGGCGATATAGTGAACTGGAGTAAATGGTACCTTCCTTAAGAAGTCACTTTTATTTTAAAAACTTATTTCAATAGTTTTTATCTAAGCTTATTATTTCAGCCGTTAACTGCCCACTGCTGAACATAGGCCTTTCTCATAAAGAGAGTTTTGCCAGTAGTTGCCATGCTTGGCAAGCAGGTTAGCATCTGCATAGCATAAAGATGTGGGAAAACGACCCAGAAATAAAAACAATCAGTGTAGGCTATGCCCTACTTTTATGACGAAAGATCCGGTCCCAGTAGTTGGATATACAGGGGAAAGGGATTGTTAGTAATGCGTAATACTAATTGCGCCACTACTAGCAATATACCCTATCAGGTCGACCTCCACGCGGTTTCTCTTGGAAACTATCGTGGTTAATTCTTGTTGAATTCGTCACGATGGGCTAACTAATCTGCTTTTATCTTCATTTATCACCCTTCATTGGTGCTCCGCCAGAGTATACCGATAGCACTATCGGAGTTACCATTCCATATTCACCCATTTAAAAATGTAGTGTAATATAAATGGGATGTTATGGATGGATGGATTCTTATCGTATTGGATGATATCTAAATTAGCATTCTTATATGGTATTGGTGAAATTGAATATTTTTCTCAAATAAATATATGCAGTAAAATTACAAAGAATTTAGTATATTATAAAAAAAATGACACCTGGACGCACCATGTTAGTATTTCCATATTATAAAAAATTGGAGCTTCCTGGTTGAAATTTGTTTATTTTACTTCGATCTATATTTCTTTAAAAAAAAAACATTGATTCTCTAGTAGAAAGAATGGATTCTTTAAAGGTTGCTAAGGATCTCCATTTCAACTTTTACATTTTTAAATTCAGTATTTCCACTTACTTTGTATCCGCAGACTTGGTTTTCTACTTCGGCGCCCTTACGAGTCAGAGCTGGTAATGAGTGACTTCTACTGGCAACCATTCACGCCCCCCTTGTGGTTCTCCCTATTTTCAATGTGTATTGTGGCTACACTAGTGTTTTATTTATTGGTATGTTGGGAGAATCGAATATTTGGGAGACATATCGAATGCAGCTTTTTTCTAGAAATATTATTGGCAATCGGAGGATATTGTCAACATTGTAAGTTTCTTTTTTTATGCAACCCAAAATGGCGTACAAGCTAACGGCCCACCTGATGGAAAATGGTAACCGTCGCCCATAGACATGAACATGTCTTGCCCATGATACCCCTCATGCGTTGCCATTCCTGAGGACTAAGGTCTTATGCCTTTGTACCCTGTAAATTTACTGCCATATAGAACTCTTCAAAATGAAACACAACCATGCAAAAACAACTACTTCATGATAGAAACACAAATGGGATATATGTACCCAAGCAAATATGTGTATATGTACAAAGTCTACCTTTAGTAATATGTTCTTTGTTTAGTGTTCTCAAGTTTTTCTTATAACAAAATAGATTAATAAAATATTGGTTTCATTTTTCAGCATTCCCTGTAGAATCAGTATTCACATCACGTCGTATAGGATACTTTACGTTTTTCTTGTTTTCCTATGTCATCTTCTCATTTTATACTTCGAACCTGCTCTCTCGGCTAGTAATAGACGAGGATTACGATATGGATCTAGGGACTTTGGGTAAAAGTGACTATAAGTGTGTCATATTAGAAAATATTATACATGGAAATGGAAACGTAAGTATTGAAAATTATAAATACATATAACTAGATGTAAAATATGAAATTAATATTTCTGAGTAAACAAAAAATTTTGAACGGGCGCGATTTTAATTTGCATATTATACGGGGGCCCCTGCTAATGCAAGACCACTGGTACAGATAATATAAGACTATAGTACTAGTACAAGCTTATAAACCTGACGAGTGCATGCTTTTTCATATTTTAGTAATCACCATTTATTATCCATTAGCCATTGTTAACTGTCCACTGCAGAACATAGTCTTTAGGAAGTATTGCCAGTAATTTCCATGTTTAAATGGTTAAAGAGATTTGAATGGAATTTGGTACATGAAAGTGCAAGAAATAATAATTAGACATAAATAAATGTTTATGTCATGTACAGATATATATTTTTGTAATAGTTATTTTACTGTTGTGCTCACATGTATTCTTACTCTGTCTTTATGGATGTATTGTATTGTTACTCCATCACCACATGATGATAGAGTTACAATACAATAGATCCATGTCATCCCCAGGATCACTGTCATAAGATTATATCTTAAGATACGTGAAATGCGACTACGAAAATAAATGCACAGTAAACCAGTGTAAGAAAAGGAAAATTGTTAATAGAATGATGGCATTCTATTAACAAGTGATAATAGTAGAAGGTCAAAATGTTCGTCGGTATTAATGAGTTATAACATAATTGATTACATTATTATTGAATTTCATAGGTTTGCATGACTCATCTAATAAGAGAAGACTTTGGGCAAGTTATCTTCATGTTATAGTATCCGATAGTATATCGGGTTGATTTATAAATTAACAGTAGACACTGAACATTATTATGACTTTTTAGATACTTTCTTTAAATATTTTAATTTAATTAACTATTAGTAACAACGAACAGAATGCCGATTTTTTTTTCCTGTTTTAATAGAACTTAATGCAAATGTACTCGTAAACAAATAACTTATTAAACCGACTGTATGACATTCTTCTCGTGTCCAATAGTAATATTAAATACTAAAAATTAAATAATTGATTGAATATTCTGATTTGTTACTTGATAATATTATTTAGAGTGTTTTTGGTTACATTTTCATTAAATCCTGTTAAAAAGACTATATATATATATATATTATTAATTTCTTTATTTAGATAACAGATTGCGAGACAGCCATTTCTCTAGATTTCGTGAAATTAGTAACCGTGAATATATCCACTGGATTAGAAGCAGTGAGATCTAATAAGACAGCTTTGTTATCTGACTTTACCACTTTGTACAGCGAAATTCATAAAAGTAAGTACGTTTTAATTAAATTATAATAATTAATTAATATAATTTTTAACTGATATTATTTAAATAAATTATAATAAAAACATATATAAGTTATTCAATTATTTACGAAAGGAAAAGGTTTTTTGCTTTTAATTATTTTTGGAAATTATGAATTGATTAAAATTGTTTTTAATTAATAATAACCTAAATAATAATAAATGTGATTAATAACATTTTTAATTCATAATAAGCATGAAAATATGTAAACTATTTTATTTTATTTGTAATAGTTACAGATCGAATTAAAATAATTAAAATAGTTACAAATAGGTATAATCATGGGAAAAAACGTACATGATTTATTTATGGTATAGAAAGTATATTATAATTAATGTTATAGCCATGAGAGTAAATAGTTATAGATATAATAGTCAACAATTTCCATATTTAAATACATACGTATTTAAGTACATTTAAGAAAAGAGCGTATGGTATTTATTTAAAGATGGCGGTGTCCTATATAAAGTGAAGATTAAATAATTGCTCATTAGTGTGCACTAATTAAAATTAACTGGAGTTTGCTTTACCGTAAGACTACTTATAAATGAAAATAGTGAAGGCAAAACCATAATAGTTGCCGTTAAGTTGCTGTAGAATCACAAAAAATGACTATTCAAACATATTTTTAATTATGTTTACTTGAATAAAAAATATTCTTTTATCAACAAAAAATTTAGTTATACAACATTCAGTTTCTATATGTACCTATTGAATTAAATAATGTAATTAATTAATTACATTTATTATATTTTATATTTATTTATTTCTCCTCTCGATAACGATAAGACCATCCATTGTTTTCTCACTGTGTTTATTTCTTGTTATTGTTTGTATCTTATAATAAGTTTACTATTGTAATCTTTTAGAAAAAAACAATGAAGAGAGATCTATCTATATTTTAAAGTGAGTGTCAGTGCAGTTTCAGAGACAAATTCTTCTACGGACGGTTCGGTCACGAATGAACTCGAAGTTTTCTTAAGTGAATACGGCATGGGGTTTTTCCAAAGAGGTGTAAAAACGCTTTTTCAAAGTCGGCAACGCGCCGTCAAGTGAGCCGTATGCTTGTTTGGCACTACAGTGGTAAAAAAGTGACTTTTTAAAAGTAAAAATATAAAAATATTTTTTGTAGCTAATTTACTATGCCAATTCAGAACAGATTTTTACAATTCTTTTTGCAATCGATAAGATTTGCTCTCACGGTGGTTCATTTTAGTTTTGTAATAATTGTAGTAGCTGTTTTTTGAAATGTAGAATACTATTTATTACAATGCGCAAACAATTTTCACGTCATTACATGATGACACGGAATGATATTCTAAATCAATTTTTTTCAATGTAATAATGTGTCTACTAGTTTATTTTCTTATACATCAATGTGCGTTGTATGATGACGAATGAAGCCACTTTTTTGCGGAGCAAATGTACCTATTACTACAAAACAAAAATCCATTTAGGTACTTGTTGTATATAATAATGATAGTTATCTTGCGCAATATTTTTACTAATTGTGTAATGATATTGAAGTTTCTTTTAATTCGAAATAAAAAAAAAATAAACTAAACTAGAAATTATTTTGCAGAAGTCCAAAAGTCAGTTAGTGGATTAATTTTTTTTTTTTGTTAAATTAGTATGCTAATAATTATCAATAGAAGTAGTTTATTCCAATATTGACTTTTCTTATAGCATAGCTCTTATGTAATTTAAAATGAACGTGCTAGAATCCAGTTGTTTCCACTCACAGGCTAGAGCAGCATTTCACATGGGGCCGGACTTGCAACTTACGAGTATAATACAAATCTCTGTCTTGGAGCAAACTACTGCTTCGCTTTACACAAGGCTTCGACTGTTCAACAATTTCCTTAACAATGCCAATTTCACCTTGCCTTCATTGTTTCAGGTTTCTCCAACACAGAAATATGCGAACTCATAGAAATAGATATTTTATCGGATCTAAAGAAATATATTGTGTCTTCAAAGAATTTCAGGCACAAAGAGCTTTTCAAAATTGGGTACGTAAAATGAAAAAAAAAATTAAAAAGAAAATTGAAATCGAATTTAGAATGTAAATAAGATTTTTTTTCTTTTGCCCTTAACCTCAATATATGAGACCAAATAAAACTTCTTTTTTTCGTAAGCTATTGTTACCTTTTTTCGTCTTAGAATGGCGGGAGTACATAATACTCATTACGTCTAAATTTCATTCAGAAGGGAGATGTTTATGATAAACATACAGACAATTGGTCTCGAATAAGATTTTATTACACAAAAAATCTAATTCGATTCTGACATTACTATGTTTTTAATGCGACTCATAATGTCAAATGAGCTGTTTCTATTACAAAGATCTAATAATTAGCTATCGTTGAGCTATCGCTTTGTAAGAGAAAGAGATACCGTTGCCTACAGTTATGAACAACATTATTGATATTACATCATCATCATATCAGTCTTTAACTGTCTATCGCTGAACATAAGCTTGACCCTTGAGGGCTTTTGCTATTAGTTGCCACTCTTGGCGGCCCAATTGCCAAGCGCAGGCTTTGTAGATGTCTTAAGAGGAACGCTGCTGCCCATATCTCGCTATAACCTGAGTTGGTGTTGTGTCATATCAAAAGATGAAGAGACTCGCTGAAAATCGTAGTAAGTGGCAAAAGCTCCACCGACAAGAGCACAGCTCTTAAATAGGAAATATAAATAAATTAAAATTAATGCAGTATCCAGCTTGTTGATAAAATGCCATTTCTTTATTACAGTATATCGCGACTTCATGAATTGGGATTAATACATCGCTTTACATTCCACAAAACACTTCAGTACACGTTATCAAGTTGTTTTGGTGCGCCCCCTATCAGCCTCGATTTTACACATGTATCCACACCATACTTAATTTTAGGTTTCTCTTATGTTTTATCTATTGTAATCATGTTAGGAGAAAGATGGCATTACAATCGAAACAGACTGTGGCCATATGTAAATTAAACTTTAGTTGTATATCTAATGAGTTGAATTTAAAATTATTAAAATACTAATATATTGTTAAAGTACTGTTATTTGAAATATATATTAGTGTTGTTTTATAAGTATGGTATACCGTGTTTATTTTCCATAAATATATGACTACCAATATTATTATCTATGTTAAAACAAAGTATACATATTCGACTATTTATGCATTAATGAGTATCAAACACCCAAATATATTAGAAAACATTTTTATTGAGTAATTTAATATTCAAAATCATTATTAACCAAAAAAGATACGAAATATCTTTCCAAAGTTCCACATCATACCTTAAACTATATATACCACGTCAGTCGTTACGAGTTTTGCCAGTAGTTACCACGTTTGGCAGTCCAGTTGGCAACCGCAGTTAGGCCTTTAGGAGATGTTTTAAGAGAGACGCTGCTGCCCATCCATCGACCAATAACATTGGTCCCTGCGTACTCACAAAATGGTAATGTCACGCGAAACGCGAAACACTGCTGAGACAACCTACCAAACTCGCCAGGTGAGATCTTAGCAATTAAAACATTAATATATTATATCATTCATCATCATCATCATATCAATCATTAATTGTCCATTGTTAAACATAGACTTCCCCCATAAACTGCTATAAGAAACAGTCTCGAGCCACCTGCATCCACTGACTTCCTGCAATGTATTTGAGGTCGTTGCTCCATCTAGTGGGAGTCGCCAGAACTTGTCTTTCCCATCAGTAGTCGATTCTTCGAGCTATATCGAACTATATGACCAGCTTATTGCCACTTCAGTTTATTTATCCTTCGGCCTATGTCGGTCACTTTGGTTCTTCTGCGAAAATTCTCATTTCAGTTTCTATCAAGCAAAGAAACTCCGAGCACAGGCTTCTTCGCTGAGCAACTTGAAGCTTCTGCATACGGTCAAACGAGTAGGACCATGTTTTCGTTCTGTAGGCCATCACTGGCAACACTTACTATTTAAAGACCTTCGTCTTCAAATTATAAAGTATTTTGGAAACTAATATAATATTTACCAAATGAAGTCAGACTGTATATATTTCATCTGCTTACATGGCTTACAATAACAATTGTTATTGTTGTTGCTAGCTACGCTTACATTAATTCTGTATTTCTAAGGTAAAGAATAAGATATATATAAGGTAGAGAACATAATGTTTCAGACTTTAGAAATAATAATTCATGATTGACATAACGCGACATGGACGTGGTAGTATTTCATCTAGTATAATATTATAATCTATGTTATAGGTGATGGTTATCACTTTCCATTAGGTGAACCGTTAGCTTTTTTGCTACTCCAAGTTTTATAAAAAATAATTATATTTACATCCAAGGGTCTAATCTGAAAGAAATATATTTCCAATATTTCAATGTACAATTTGAATTTGCTCGAAAACATCTTTCTTCTGATACAAAGTAAAATATCTATTAATATTCTTGGAGTTCTGGAATCCACTTATATAAATTCCACGATATTGAATTTATTGAGGCATTTAAACACGAAGAGTTTGAAATATAGAGTAAAACTCAATATAAGTTGCAGAATGTTAATACGTTTTGGGGGGGGGGGGGGAGTATTGTTAGTATTGCGGACTACTAGCCCTATTGCCAGCTGTCAGATTGACCTCCACGTGGTCCTCCCTGGAAAACATCATGCTAAATTCTTGATTGCAGAACTGACTTGCCTTTTCATTGTCACCTATCATCCACCACTAATACTCCGCCAGCGTATACCGTTAGCAATGCTTTGACAGGCCTAAAAATCCTAAAATCAAATTTCAGTCTGAACATCAGAATTTTTCATTTGCTTTATGTTTCAAAGTAAATGTAAATCCGTTATTCGATAAATTATATTAAGCAAGGCAGCCTAGAAACTTTCTCTTGTTTACTAAAACCATATATGTGAATATGAAAATGTTCCGTGTGTCCACGTCTCTCTAGATGACACTATGATCTTTAAAAGAAACAGAAGTAAATAGATGCAGAAAGCAGAGAACTGCACTAATTAGATGACAATAACGGAGAAGGAATATAGTTTAATTAATTTATATATTTGCATGATTTATAAAATAAGGATGTAGATTAGCTACGTGGTAGTACTAAAAACATGTTAGTGCCATGAAGCAGTTGTGTACACATTACTGTGTTCTGCTCTAAAAGGATATAACCGTGAAATAACAGGCATAAATTCTTTAGTTACTAAAAATAGCAACACATAAATTATGTAACATCCATAGAGCTGTTCCTATCTAAAGAATACGGAAATTATCTCTTTCCATTAAGCGGGCTCTCAGCTTGTTAAAATGTGTAAAATATTTTTTATTTATCCGCTGCCAGCTGGCCCTAATCCGTAAGGTGACGAGGACGCTGTATTAAGGAAATAAAGTCCAGGCTTGCCAGATTTAGAGTTAATGCCCATAAAAGCCACTTCATTTTTAGTACACAATCCCTCTTTGAATGCTGTCCAATTTTCACATTTACGAGCTGAAAAGGAACACAGATTTTTTTTTTAATTCGTGAATATTATAATACCGGAATAAAAAATGGTCCATATTTTTTTGTATTTCCTAATGATTAGTTGAACTTTTAATGATGCCAAGAACAAAACAAAGAAACAGTTAAACTTTTTCATTTTCTACAACTTACCAGGAAAATTATTAGTTGCGTTGAGAGATTCAGCAAAGAGCTGCCACGCTCGAGTGTGGTCGCAGGTTGACAGCAGGCATCCTGGTTGAGATTTTCCACCATTGGCATAAAAATCTTTATGGCCTGAAAGCAGCATTATTCAGAATATATTAACTTTTAACTAGTAGTAGTATCTAAACAAGTGGCAATTAAATTTATAAATAGAAATGGAATGAGAAAGCAACGCCCGGTATTTTAATCTTTCTTATACGAGCGCTAGCCGAAACTATTCTATACTCTAAGAGAACTAACAAAAAGTGCATCTTATCAGGATAACAGTATTCAAATTAAATATATATAAAACAGTACTGCATTATTTACCTACAGGTTCTATTAGTCCCAAGATTCCTGCATTCGTATGTATCACATCGACGTACTCTGCATCCTCTTTGTTCAATCTATTCACTGAACTGGCGTTTCCAAAACAAGGTCCAGCAGGATCTAAAGCAGCGATACGAGCTACCTTTTTTTTAGTAGTCTGATATACCTTTTGTCCAGTAATACCAGCAATGTGAGCACCTAAGCTGTGACCAATTAGAGTAATCTTTGACGGGTCTTGGCCAGCTGCAAAGATTTGATAGCTATTGAAAAATAGTAATGTACTTCGATTGCTAATTCATCAAAATAAAATGCATAGTTTCTGATTCTATTTTGATAGTATCTATATCCTTTTGTGGTTCATCTATCAAATTATAACCTTTTATATGTAGTCTGTTTGATTTAACGTCAATCAATTGCAGTAAAATAAGTAAGTAATAATAAAAAAATAACAATGATCTCTATAAATAGATAGAAATGAGTTCAAAGAAATTATAGACAGACAAAAATAGAAATTACCTTTTATAATATCTCCTAAAAAGATTCCAAGCTTTTCACCCATAAATCTAGCATATGTTGATGAACGAAAATATTCCAGATTGATTACTTTTCTTCCATCAAGCGCTAAAACTAATAATCCCTTTTGCTTTAGCAACATTGGAGCCAATCCTTGGACCATCACTCCATCAGAACTTTCTAAAAATCCGTGTATAAGAACGATAATTTGTTTTGCATTGCCCAACAATTTGGTCAGGTGTTTGGAAGCCGATAAATTGTATTTTATATTTCCGTCTTTAGTTATTAAATCTATGCTGAGTGATTCATAAAATCCCGTAATATTTTTCTCTTGCATCTGCTCATAAGTAAGTCCAAAGAAAGTTTTAAATGTTTCGCCTGTAATTAGATAATAAATCATTAAAAAATGTTTTTTGTATAAACTTTATGCAATTTGAACGGCAGATAAGCTGACGACCTATACGATGGATTTAAATTATGATATTAAAATAAAATGTATTTCTCTTACAGTAGCTACATTTTTATTATAATAATTCTGAATAAGGTAAAATGCTATATAATTTTTGACATATTTTGGTAAACGCTTTCTAATACTTCTATCAACATCTGTTAAAGCAAGCAATATAATAGAAGTGAATATATCTACATTAGATATTTAATCTATCGGATTAAATATCTAATGTAGGTAGTAATTAAGGAAACAAACAAGCATTTGTGTGATTTGCAATTTCATGATTGCCAATCTCAGAACACTCAATTAACAACGTCTAACGGTAAACTAAGACTACGATTTGCACATGTTTCAGAATAATTTCACTGAGTTAGAAGGCGAAATTCTGATGATTTTATTATAATATTTCTAATTATAAATATAGAAACTTATATAATTGACGATATAAAGTGAAATCTAAATTCTTTATTCTATTAAAAATAAATTATTTTCACATAAAACAATTTATTTCACGAAGAAACTTCCTATTTTAATATTATGTTTTAACTCGTATTCCTTTGAGAAAAATGTTCAATTTCACTGGCAGAAAACTCTCTTCATGGCATAGCATCTTTTTAAGATGATTTGAATTACATTCTGTATAAAAACTGAATGTTGAATACTCAGAAAATGTAGTATTAGCTAATACATTTAATTACTTACATCGGTTTGATCCGCTGTTGAACTTAGGGTAAAATTTCTCTAAAGAAGGGAAAGCTGCCTCTATTAAGGAGCTAATGCTGAATTTGGCATTATTTTGAGTATAAACAGGTGTTGCAGCTAAATTTGATGAGATATTGAGAGGAGAGTAAAAGCGGGAAACAGTTAACGGTGCACTGCTCTCGATTATGTATCGAGCAAAGCTCGCCTTAATAATATACTGCTCTCGATTATAAAATGTATATTAACGCCAGTTGTATAAATGGCTTAGCTGAAATAATAAAGAGATTGAAATTTCAAATTTGAAAGATTTCTTTTTATCTGTTTTATTTTTTAACTTTCTAAATGATTCATTAATGATTTATACAGTAATGAAAAAAAATTCCATTCAATAGTGCTTGTTTCCAAACTCAACAAAACCAGGTAATACAAGCTTCATGATATTATAATTATTTTTAAAAAATCTAATATATTGGAATACTTAACTACTGTCAGTGTATCTAAGATCGAATCCGAACTAAAACCTCCGAATTTTCTAATGTCTAGATCATTTAATAATTTTAAAATTTATTAATATAAAATCTTTCGACGCCAATAATGACAAAATTTATAAAGGACTAACCCAGATATAAACTCTACAGAATATATAAAGAAATATTTAAATCGGAGCACTATTGGCGAAGATGTGGCTTAACATACAATTATACGTAAAATGGTAGGTAAATTAAGAACCTATTCATTTTTGAAATTACTTAAAATTCATTATCATATTTCGTATTTCAACACTTCCCGATTCTAATTATAAGTTTGATTTCAATATTTCTACATTAAATTGATAGGAAAATTTAGTCGGTTTTTAGAAATATTTACATTATGAAATTTGACTTACCAACACTCATCTCACTATATAAATAAAAAATAGTATCATACTAACAAAAGCCTATCAGAGATATGAAATCTCTACTCACATCCCACCATACAAAACAACTACATAATATATAGACTATGCCAATATGAACACAACATTATAAAGGTGATGAACGTTTGTAAAGGCTTTTGGATGAATTTGATATTAATTTTGGCTTAAAAGACTGGATCTGGATAGACTATAATGTTTGGTAGAATGATGGACCACCTCGATTAACACATATGAAATTTTTTATTGTAATTTATTATATTTATAAGACTTCAGCAGTGAATAGTGAAAAGTCGACCGGTCTTCTGACCCTCATGGTGGGAGAGTTAAGTGGAGGCTTCGGAGCGGACACCTTTACACCGGCATCAACTTCGGGGACAACTACCTCGAGTTACTGGGTTTAAGCTCTATCCTTATTAGGGTAAGACGTGGTCTTCTTTCTTCTCTCTTATTACGGTGATGCGGATGTGGGACCTCTTCTTGTTTCTCCAATTATTTTTTTAAACAAATTACCTAGGCCGCTCTATTACTGTTTGTGCCAGGTCTCTAGTATTTATAGTACAAGATCTGCTTAGTATAGGACTAGAAAGCTGTTTAATTTGTCAGGTAGAAGAGAAAGGGATTGTTAATAATGCAGATTACCAGTCCCATTGCTAACAATATACCCTGTCAGGTCCACCTGCACGTGGTCTTCTCTGGAAACCATCGTGCTAAATTCCTGGTGTATTCGTCACGATAGGTTAACTGACCTGCCTTTTCATCTCATCTATCATCCCTCACTGGTGCCCCGCCAGCGTAAACACACGCACAAGCGATGTTACCATTCCATTGACATCCATTAAAAATATGTCCAGTAATATTTATTCATTAAAGCCAATGTGTTACTTATACTAATTGCCTGTATGTGTAACACTATTATTTTAAAAGTGTAAATAAAGCATTTTTTATCCCTCACTGTCAATACACGCGGATAAAGCTGTAGGACACTGTTAAAGCTTTTTATGGATGTCAGTAGAATGATAATCCCGCCTGGTGGGATAGCAATGAGTAATGACACACAAGGATGAAGTCAGACCAATTCTCTAGGAATTTAACGCGGTGGTTTTCTAAGGGAACTGTGAACTGACTTATCGGGGTCAGAACTTATCATTTAAATATTGCTAGCAATAGAATTATCCCAGAGATTAGTAGTAAATAGGTACGATAAAAAAATAACTGTTAATTTAAAGGAGATCTCCGAATCGAAATTTACTCAAAAAGACTCCCAAGTAAATTCTTTTGTTTTACGCCTGCTTAGAACCAAAAATCGGAAAATGATTTTTTTTATTTAAATTGGCACGATGATTGGCTGGTAATTTAATATAACTTAATTGTTCTTATTTTGTATAATAATTGCAATGATTAAGTCGATTACATAGTAGTAGATAATCATAGTCTGATATCCAAGGTCTTTATACATACAATTAGCAATTTTTTTGCAATGCACTTAGATTTAGGTACTATCTACAGTCTCATGATTAAAATGCAAAATTTTCGTAGAAAAATTAATAACTAGTAATATTCCGCTTAATCCATGCAAATTTTAAAAGTAATGAAAGAGGTATTTGTAATAGAAAAGTCATTATAAAGTAACTTCGTCATACTTAGGTGCCTTATTAAGTAAATTGATGAAATTTTAAAGGCAAAGCAAAACTTTTCTGCAGCAAATTTGGAATTAATGAATTATAAAATTTGATTAAAATCAAGTCATAAATATAGATGGGACTTATTGTTTATATGTTATTTATAATGAGTAATTTATTAAGTAAAACAATGGATTAGTTTGGTAACAAATCTTGTTAATACAAAATTTCGTTATCAAACTCTGACTTTACTGGAAGAGAACTCTTTTAGAGTTAAGCTTGCCTTTGTACATTTTCTTACCTCTGTCATATTTTTTATGTATTATTATTATGTACAATAAAGTATAAAGTAAATAAATGAATCATCACATATTGGTGGCATCTAGAATCGAGTTCATAACAAAATTTTTTTTTATTCACCAGTTAAAGACAATATTCTGTGAAATATTGTAAAAATAAAACAAGTTCATAGCTACAATAGTTACGAAGCATCGAGATTGTTATCTCTTTATAACATTCAACAATTTGTTCCGCTACACATCGGTATGTTAAAGTTGACTATTGAATGACTTTAATTGTGTACTTAAAGTATCTGCAACTACGAGTATGTATATGTTGTATATTATTATGTAATATAATATTTAGTAATATAAAAAATAGGTATCTACGTATTTATATTATAAAAGGTATACAATGCATTTTTTCTGGTATCAATGGTGTTGATTGTAGGCACTTGATGGGTTTCCCATAAAACGAAACCTGACAGGTAATATGTAAAAAAAATATTGAATAATTATTTTTATAATGAGTATAACTTTTTTTCTGACATCAAAATTATTTACATCCGCAAATCGATTTTATTGTTGTTCGTGTTTAAATTCGGATTGTATTAGACCAGCTTGTCTAGATAAGTGGCGAATCTATTCATAAAAAATATGAGATAGAGACATGAAAAAGAGTGAGATATCGGATGTTGTTGTTTAGATCTAATCATGCATGTAGTAGCGATAATATATAGGTTTATAGATACAGAAAGATTTGTTTTTCGCGTGTCTATCTAAATAGAATTTTGCTACAGCTATAGTGCTGTCATTGATTTCGTGCTGACCTTTTACCACACAACCATTAGAACTTACTGGAGAATAAAATGAGATATTTGGGTGCGATTTTGCAATTATATAACTGAACAATATATCAAATAACGCGTTCTTGCGGTATCTCCATATTGTGAAATTTAACTTATCTATTTCTATGGATGTATAATCTAAAAAGTATACATTTAAACACAAAGGGAAAGTAGGTACTTATGGCCAACAAACGTTGTGATAGTAGAATAAATACAACGGAATACAAAGGAATCTGCGCGAAACGTAAGGTAAGCAATTACTTAGCTCTTTGAACAGATTAATCGATTTGAGTATAAATCTAACCCTATGTACATTGTAGATAACTGAGAGCAGGCAATCTGAGTGCACTGTGTTATATTTTGACTCATCTTTCATTTAAACTAAGTTATTTTTGTAGAAATTGATAACGAATTTTGCTTCTTAATATATTTCTAAATAAGACTTGAGCTCCTTTTAAAATTTTAGATTATATATAGAGTGTCTCCATACAAATACTTTAAGAAAAGCGGCTCAACTTTTTCGTACAGTTTTGCGTGATAAATGATCATAAGCGATTCCTTTATAACTTCTATATTTATTTTGTTTTATAATTTTTGCATCTTTTTAAAACGTAAAATGTCTTTTTATTTATTAAATAATTAAATACGTCTAGATACATTGTGTGCGTAAATATATAAAACACTGAAAAAAAAACGCGTCAGCTAAGTTGACAATTAACTGACAAAAAGTTGACCCGTTTTTGAGACTCAATGCTCTATCTATATAATCTTAGTTCAAAATGTTGTAAATAGACGTGCGTACCGACCTAGAGATTTCAACATGTCATGATGATGAATTATTAATGAGTCAATTTTAATACTTAATTAAGTAATTTTGTTAGGTATAGGAAATGATGTAGGCAGTTTCTTTTTTCTCCGAAACGGGCTTCTTAGAAATAGAATTAAATATGAGTATATATCGCAAATGTGTTACCTGTAATATTTTGATCTTATACACCTAGACTCAAAAGAGCCTAACTACTTCGATTATATTTAGAAAATATAAAAATAAGAATCGTTGGTTCAGTTTGGTTCCTTAATAACAATTCTTATTAAACACGCGATCTGCCGTCATCGTGGCAAGTAGTTTAATAGTGGACATACTCAGTTTTTATTAATACTTTTTATAATTTGATGACCTTGGTATCGTCTTAATACGACGAAGATTTTAATTCGTACTACACAGAAATTATTCATACTTGTAATTTATACAAGAACAGACCGTTGACTTCTTCTGCTTTTTTAATAATTTTGGTTTAATTGAATGTTGAAACCTGGTGATTGTATTAAATTAATTTTATTTCGTAAGTTAGTCATATATGTACCTATGGTGTTATTTAGTTTAAAACTTATTTTTGTGTATTCATTGGTGGAAAAAACACTGTTAACTACAATAATTATTTTTGCTCTGTAATAATTAAAAT